GTTCCGATTGCCTGTAGTTGAAATGATGCTTCCCAGATAAGTGAAGGAGGCAACCACTGTTAAATCTCTCCCGTTGATGGTGATTGATGCTGGTTGTTATTGTTGTTGTTGTTGCCGTCGCTTGTTTATCTTCACCTCCACCAGTCTTCTCTATGTTCACCTGCAGTCCTGTTCTCGCTGCCTCCTCCTTCATCCAGTTTATTGGTTTTCGCCTACCTTCAAGTCTTCGAGTTTGTGTGACATTAGACATATATCGTCTGCGAAATCCAGATCTTTCAGAGTCTTCTTATCGGTGGTCCATCGTATTCCTGACTCTTCACCCCCAAACAGTTTGACGCATAATCCAGTCAGTCCACCACAATTAAGAAAATCATCGGAGATAGAAGTGGGCAACCATGTCTTACTCCTGTATTCACTTCGAACGCCTCGATGATATATATATATATATATATATATGGTTTTTAAGAAATCATATCGGGTGAGGAAACTGAATCATACGTATGAATGCATAAAATAATGATAGTGGTAGTATGATATCTAATTAAAACTAAAATATTTGTGATGATAATCATAGTTGAATGTCAAGTGGCAATACAATTAATGTCCTATATATAGAATAATTCATAGGATGTATAGAACTTGGAAAGGGTGTGCAATTAAAGGATTAATAGGCAAATCGAATAAGGATAAAACGTTAGGTAATACTGTGTGAAATTTGCTAACATAGAATTTAACGTTCCCTGCTGTATTTTTGAGAATAGCTTTTACATCAGTAGACCATAATTGTTCAATAACCTTAAGGACAAGATCCCGATGTTGACCAACTCTATGTGCGTTTATCAATTCACCTGCTCGTGTGGAGTTAGGTATATCGGTTGTTCGACTCGAGTTTTTTCCAAGAACGCTATCCTCCATGGTTACGAAAAAGTGAAAGTGGAGCAATAAGAAGTGCGATCATTGAACATCTGGTCAATAGTGATCATCCTATCTCTACAGCCTCCTCTTTTAAAGTCATTTACAAGGCAAAAAGTAATTTACCGAAATCACAATGTACCCGACTCATCTGTATTACTGAAGGTTTGGCTATCGAAACAGAAAAGCCTGATTTCTGCATACAGAAAAAGTTCATTCAACCCCTTCAACTTTCATGGTCTTAATCCTTCGATCCTAAAGTAGGGTAATCCCTAATCATATTTTGGCTCTACTTATTTCTTTTCGTTTTGTCTATTCAATTTGTATACTCTTCCTTTATCACGTCAATTGTTACTACTATTACTATTCTCACTTTGAACTGTCCCCGGTATTATTTCACTCGCCATTCACTTGTCATTCTAAATCAATTTTGTTTCGCAACGTTACATTCTATGTTATCAAATTTCACACAATGTTACGTAACGTTTTTTTTTGTTTTATTCGATTTGCCTACTAATCCATTATAATAAAGGCCTTTTTTGTATTTCCCAATGAATGAATGAAAAACAAAACGATATTGTCGCTTTTACTGACGTTTCGATATTTAATGCTGATGCTAATAGTTTTATCAAAGTATTATTAACCGGAATTGACAAAATCTCAGCATATATATAACAAAGAGTAAATTCCAGTTTTAATAATACTTTGATACAGCTATTAGCAGCATTAAATAGAGAAATGTCAGTAAAAACAACAATATTGTTTTGTTTTTCATTCATTGGGAAATACAAAAACCTTTATCTATAATGAATATCATATACCCAATTGCCAAATTTTTTCAAACTGTTAAAAGTCAACTTGGTTTGGACATATATAACTCGATATAATTTCTTAAAAACCATATATATATATATATATATATATATATATATATATATATATGGTAAGAGTAAGACATGGCTGCCCACTACTATCTCCGATGATTTTCTTAATCGTGGTGGACTGACTAGATTATGCGTCAAACTCTTTCGGGGTGAAGAGTCAGGAATACGATGGACCACCGATAAGAAGACTCTGGAAGATCTGGGTTTCGCAGACGATATATGTCTAATGTTACACAAACTCGAAGACTTGCAGGTAGGCGAAAACCAACAAACTGGCTGAAGAAGGAGGCAGCGAGAACAGGATTGCAGGTGAGCATGGAGAAGACTGGCGGAGGTGAAGATAAACAAGGAACGGCAACAACAACAACAAAACAACCAGCATCAATCACCATCAACGGGAGAGATTTAACAGAGGTTGCCTTCTTCACTTATCTGGAGACGGAACCCCCACCACCTGCGTGGTTAGTGAACACCCTAACGCTGTGCCGTCTACGCCTTACCAGATGTAATTTCTTAAAAACTGTACGTATATATATATATATATATATATATATATATATATATATATACGATTGTACAGCTTGATAATGAATACAAGCCTATCACAAAAGGCAGATGTGTCACATCTAATGACTGAAAGTCCCCTGTTGTGTTCTGAGTGGTATAAACGCGCTACCTTTCTTTGCTACCTACCATCTATTATCAGCTTACCACCTTCATATTTTCCCACTCCTATAGCATAATATTTGACTACCATAACTATTCACACAAAAGTAATAATTAACAAATAGAGGAAGAAATAATCATAATTAGTCAATGATAAATAGGCATAATTAATTATTCTTTCGAATACCAAAGCAGAATAAAAAACAACAAGCCTAATCCATGAAGTATTGAAGAGCGAAGGGTGAATATTAGTTAAAGCGGTGTTATCTGTTTTTTTTTGGGTAACATGATGATTACTATTACTATTAATAATATGATTATAAAATACCACGAGTTCTTTTTCTTAAAATTAGCATGAGGGCAGTGATGATGGCCAGATTGTGTTGTTTTATATATATGCGTGTGTGTCCTATGGAATAGAAGGCTTCTCGCAATGCAGAAGTTTGACATTTTCGCCAGAACATTTTTTAACTACTCATAAGTAGTTTGTTGTTTAACACTAATATTTTTAAGTGTTTGTTTGCAAGGATTTAATTTGATTGGTTACAGGATTTCATCATGAGCTTATATTGGTTAGGGGATCATTGGAAAACTTTGGGGGGGGCAGTAATGGACAGTTGCTTCGTCCTAGTTCAGGGGGGCTCTTCAGAACTGCGCTCCCATCACTGGGACCTTTTGTTGTAACTGTAGCGGAATTAAATGAGGACGTTGTCGCCTTGTTGTGTCTGCGCCTGACTAATATGCCTATCTGCTTCTGGTACCTTCCGATTCAGCGAACCACGCAAATATCAAAAGACAAAGTCTGGTCTGTGACTGTGTATTGTAGTACAACAACTACGACAAACTACGACGACAAAGAAACTTATTTAGGAAATGGTATTTATACATATTTACAACCAATACAGACAGCTAACAGTATTTGAAATAATTGGTCGTAATAGTCAATAACAAAATGCGTAGGAATGATGATATACAACATATGCGAGATTAACAGTCGTTAAGATAATTGAACAGTAACAAAGTGCGTGAGAATTGATGATATACCACTTATTCGAGATTAACAGTCGTTAAGATAATTGAACAATAACAAAGAGCCTGGAAAATGATAATATACCACTTATGCGAGATTAACAGTCGTTAAAATAATTGAACAATAACAAAGTGTGTGGGATCCTATCACCTTTTGGTTGAGACGAACTCGCAGACCATCGCGCCACTGGGTCCTGATCCAATGGCTAGTCTATAAATTCCAACTTATGCCAATTCACGATATGACACAACCACTAGCCATTGTCATCGCTGGTGAGTATTTGTCCTCTCACCGGACCTGCTGTTATCCACTGGTCGTATTTTCAACTTAGAGTTAACTTTGATCATGGGTTGAAAACAGTGTTAAAGTACAATCGCAAAACCAAAAGAGAGTACGGGACAGCCAGGTGTTTCGATGTCGCTTTGAGGGACTCATAGACAGTATCTGCTCATGACTTCAACACCAGGGATCAAACCTAGAACGTTATGGTAACTAGGACGAGATCAAATTTGAAACCAAAAGAAATTTCTACAAACTAACACTAATCTGATACTCACTAATGAATGACTACAAAAGGAAATTGGCTGGACTTCTGTTGTGAATTCGTAACCATTGGGGGGCGACCAGGTCAGATTCTAGCCAAAGTGGCTAAATTATCAAGCATCTTGGCCTCACAAATCTAAGATTGTGAGTTCCAATCATTTTGAGTGTGTATTGCTGAAGAGTCCGAAGTCAGGACGAAACAGCCGTCCAGATATAAACTGGGTCTGTTACTGATGTCGGCTCATGGTCGAATCTGTAACCAATCAAATCCCTGCAAATCAATAATCAGCAGTGGTATATTGTTGATCATTTTGTGCACATAATTTTTTCGATAGTGGATTGGTAGTTTTAATTGTGGGGATGTTCGCCAACTATGCACATCATTTGGGATCGACTTGTAGCCGATGAATTCAGAAATCCTGCCTTTTTCACTATAGGATAATAAGATCGTAGAAGAAGTAACATATGACGAAACTACTTCTACTTAATCTTCAAATCTTCAAGCTCTACGTTTCTCTCGGAAAACAAGGAATGACAATGATAATGCATTTAACACATATTCGATTTAAATAGTGAAGGTGAATTTAGTATTCAATGGTTGTTTATTTATTTCTTGGCTTTCAAATGGAGCGTGGAGCTTCAAGCATTGAAGTTTCAGTCACCATGGTTGTGGTGGTCGTGTTTAATGTTAGTCTCAACCCAACTTTCCCTCTTTCCCGGCCTTCCTATTGGTTAGTCAACTAGATGGCGTGTAGGAATGAATCGGCTGGGATTTGAATCCGGTCCACGGGTGTGGCTGATAATCAGTCTACCACTAAATGAGTTCTGCTGGGTGAAACTTTCAAGTTATTATGAGTTTCCTGGTAATTGGGAAATTCGCCATTGTTATAGAGAAGCATTAAATCTAACATCGAACTTTTTCACATCATAATATCGCTAGTCAGCACAATAATTGAGTACTAAAAATGAGTTCTTTTAAGAGGTTGGTGAAAACTTCTGTAATGGTGGCCTGATTCGTATATCCTGGCGACTGACCTCCTATGAGACTGAAATCAATGTAACTCTAGATAGTGAATAATATCATGGGTTTATTCCTTCATTCGGTGTAGATTGAGTACCACCCGTTACAATCCTATAGATGGTCAGTCGCGAACCCGAATAATTTAGTGGTAACTAACATCTCTGAGTGTAACATTAAGTGCCCCGGGTTCGAATCTTCAAAAACGGACATAAATTCCTTCAGAACTGGTGAGTGCCAATAAGCACAAAACCTAGAGCCAATTAGGCAAGACTTCCTCCCGACTTCCACCAACGATTACGCCATGTTGGTGAGTCACCAAAAACGGTGACCACACTGCAAAATTGTCTGATAGAGTTGAGTCTACACCAAAGGAGTAACTAGGTGTATGACATCAGTCTGTGTGTCTATCTGTTTTCGACATAGAACTTTGCACCAATGTGCGCAAGTTCAAGTCGCCACACTCCCTCCATGTAGTACACAAAGCAAGAGAAGAAAGTAGGAGAAATGCATATTAGAGACAGTAAACAGAGGTGTGAGACAAAGGTATAGTAATAACGAAGAACAAGACAGTTTCATTGGGTATTATAAGTCACAAGGAGTGGATGCATCTGCGCCACCCATTGAGAACGATTTTGAGCCATGTCAGCAATTGTTTCCAACCATTGGTTTTTACCGTCCCGAGGACCCCAACCAGGAAGCCTACGTGGCTTAGACTAACTGTTTAAGATTTCATTGACTGGTGCCATGTTTTCGCTTGACGGCCGCTAGTTCTTTTCCAACCTGACCCTATACCAGCTAACATTGCAAGTTGTCGAGGAAGGCGATGACTAGGCATACGTAACACATGTCCTAACCATCTCAGTCGATGTAATTTCACAGTCTCGTCTATTGATTTCCCCTCCTTACCTAGCACTCGACGCCTAACGTCAATATTGCTCACCCTATTATACCACTTCACACGGGAGACAGAACGCAGACACCTATTTTATTTATTTATTTTATTTTGATTTACAGCTTGATTCCACACCGTATTTTCAGTAAAAGTATGCAATTTTCAGCATGGATATCGGTAGCCCAAATTCAGGCATACCATAGATATCGGGTGTGCGGCGGCAGGGGATCGAACCCCGGACCATGTGCATGATCGAAGACAGCTAATCTTTTCATGTCTTCCACTCTCAATGGCCAGGTCTCACAGCCATAAAGGAGGACGGAGCGGACTGATGAGCAGTACACATGCCCTTTGGTCGATAATCGGATATCGCGTCTACGCCAGAGACGACGGTCAATGTGCTCTTTCACTTCACTTCCTATTTCTAATCTAGGAGTGAGTCTAGTCCAATCCTGTGACATCATCTTGCATTTGGCGGGATGACATCAGTTACTGCTTAGTGTCTTGTCAAAGTGATGTATAGGTGAATTCTACAATATTGTATCTCCAAGAACTTAGCTATTTTCACCAGTATGTATGAATATAGGTAAATAAATACTGCCAGATGAGTGCCTACTGAGAGCTGTCGTCTGAAGTGATGTCCGTCAGAGATGCCTACTATCTCCATTTCTATTCAGTTTCATCATAGATGTGCTAATGGACTTAACTCTAACTGACTTCAACGACTCAGAGATTGACTTGTCATCACCGAGGAATAATCTCGTTGAATTAGAATATGTATGAGGATGATATAGCCCTCCCTCCTAGGTAGGTGAAGACACTGACAAAATGCAGAGTATTCTGAACACCTAGAGGAACAGCAATCTTTAAATGTTTGGCATGCGATTCACCTGCTCCCGTCAAATGTAAGATTATGCTACAAGGCTGGACTACATTTGACTCAGTCCTAGCTAAGAAATGGGTAGTGGTGAAGTGGTAGAGCGTGCTGACCATTTCATTTATTTGGGGAGTTGCATCAGCCCTATCTCCGTCGGGTCGATCGCTGACGAAATCTCAGCACGGATACAAAAGGCTCGTTTGACTTTTTTCGGCTAACTTACGCCATCTTTGGCTTAGTAGACGTGATATCCGGCTGGTTATCAACCGAAAGGCGTGTGCACTGCATAGCAGCAGTTCCCTCTATCCTCCTTTATGGCTGTGAGTGATACATGGTCATTGAAAGTGGAAGATACGAAAAGGCTAGCCAGCTGTTTTTGATCATAGGTACCTGCGTTCTACCTCCCTAGTGAAGTAGTATTATAGGGTAAGCAATATTTAGGTAGGCATCGGTCGAGTGCTAGGTAAAGAGGGGAAATCAATGGACAATGCTGTGAAGTTACATCGATTGAGATGGTTAGGACATTTGTCACGCATCCCTAGCCACCGCCTTCCTCGACGGGCAATGTTAGCTGACATAGGATGGATGAATCAGGTTGGAAAAGAGCCAGTGGTGGCCGAACCAAAACATGGCTTCATCAGTCAATGAAACCTACAACAGTTAGTTTCAGCCACATAGGGGGGGGGTTGTAAGCCACTGTCTGGTTGGTGTCCTCGGGATGATAAGAACTAATGAATGCTGGAGACGATTAGTGATATGGCTGGCTAAAAATCGTTCTCAATAGCTGGCACATATACACTCACTCTTTGTAATTTGTGAAATCCAATAAAACTCTATTATTCCTCTTCTATATTACTATTCTTTTTGCCTCACTCACACTTCTGTTTATTATCACTCTCTCTTTTAAGCCCCCTTTAATTTCTTCTCTTGCTGTGTGTGTGTGCTACATGGAGGGAGTGTGACAACTCGAACTGCTGCACATCTGTGCGAATTTCAATGCTGAAACCAATCAGTTAGTCAGTCAAATAAGGACTAAGGCTCTGATTACTTCAGACGAAATTTTAGAAGAGTGTCTCCCTGCCATTTTCATCCGGCTTACCTATCTGATACAGGGGAATTAGAGTTCAGTTTCCATGATAGTGTATACATAGTACAGTTCGATATTAACCTAGAGTGTTTCACAGATGAAGTACACAGAGAGAGGAGATACAACGGAATAATACCCTGTCCAGACAAATTCACAATTTTCTTCTTTCACTTGCTTTCTATATTCTTATTTGCATAGAATAGACGCCTAACACGTGCAACACTCTCGCTTCAATATTCAATCACACATAGATATATAATGGGAAAATATTGCGGTCATTAAAACAATAAATATAAACGATTTTGAAATAGTAGAACTAATATAAATTAGGTGAAAATTTTGTATTGTGTTGTTAGTCAAAAAATAAGCTTATATAATGTTGCATCATTGCCAGGATTGTAAAGACAAGACAGACAAACATTATTTTCAAGTATTGGTTTTGTAGGGATTTTTCTGTTTGATTGCATGGAGGATTTCATCATGAGCTGACATCAGTTAGAGAACCATTGGAAAACCAGCCAGGGAGTACTGGACAGCTGTTTCGTCCCAGTAGTTTGGGTCTCTTCATTAGTACTCGCCCACAGGCGTTCGAACCCAAGACTTTCTGGTTACAAGGCGAGCTTGTAGACCATTGAGCCACTGAGGCAGTAACTCATCAAAGAAGACACTGCGAAATACTCGCGCTATGTCGTGAATTGGCAGAAGTTAGAATTCATGGGCCATTGGATCGGGTCCCAGTGGCTGAATGGTATACGAGCTTGCCTTGTAACTGGTAGGTCCTGGGTTCGAACCCTGGCGGCGGGTGCGTACTTCTGAAGAGTCTCCAACTAGGACGAAACAGCTGTCCAGTACTCCCAGGTTGGTTTTCAATAGTTCTCTAATTGATATCAATCCGTGGTCAAACTCGTAAGAACGCCATTATTACTATTATTATTATCAATGTCATTACTACTATTATGACTAATTGCACAATTTATATGCACAATCTTATCCCATAAACAAAACACCATGATTGGTTTATATTCGAACTTTTATCTGTAAAGTTATATATATATATATATATATATATATATATATATATATTAGGGTTAATTAAGCCTGGTGAGATCAAATTGAAAACAACAATATTGTTTGCTTGAATGTGTTGTTCTAAATTTTACTATGAGAATATTTAGTATTAATGGTTTAATTACGAAAGTTTCGTCATCTTCCTAGATCACATAATCAGTGCTAAAGTCAAGACAAAATTAGCTTTAGGAATTCTTTATCGCTTTTCTGATAACTTTAACCATGATTATAGTTTTTATGATAGTTCTTTCTATAGTTGGTTTGTAAGGATTATTTTTCTTATTTTTACGAGTTGATCACGGATTGATATTAGTTAGAGAACTATTGGAAACCAGCCAGGGAGTACTGGACAGCTGTATCCTCTGTCCTAGTTTGGGAATCATTGGCAGTACGCACTCATTGTTTTTTCTTTCATTTCCATTCATCAATTATAGTGTATTGTTTTAATTACCTGTGTGAAACAGGTGACCTCATACCAGAATTAATGTTTCATTTGACCTTTCGAATGTTTATGTGAAATAATTTGAAACAGTGATTTTCATTAGCTGTACTTTTCGGTACCTTGATTTGACACTAAAATGTGTACTATACTGTGCATTAGGTTGTTACACTTATTATTATATACTAGTAAAGTTTCTCATTTGGGTAAACAAGTAGATCAGTTTGTTCCTAATGTTTTGTTGCAGTATTCAAGTGTGGGAGTGCCAAGAAAGTACATAGCACTAATCAAGGCACTCTACTCAAACTCACGTAGCCATGTAAGGGCTTATGGGGAACTGTCATCTGAATTGATAACAACCAGTGATGTCCGTCAAGGATGTCCACTTTCCCCTTTTCTGTTTAACTTCATCATAGATATGCTAATGGAAGTATCCTTAACTGAACTTAACGACTTAGGAATCGACTTGTTACCAGGGAATACTTTCATGGACTTAGAATATGCAGATGACATAGTCCTGTTAGGGGCGGACACTGACAAAATGCAGAGTCTTCTGAACACCTTGTGCAGCAATCTTCGTAAGTTTGGCATGCGATTTGCCCCTCTAAAATGTAAGATGCTGCTACAGGACTGGACTACGTCAACTCCTAGCTTCGTGATAGGGAGTGAAGTGATAGAACATGTTGAACACTTCACCTATTTGGGAAGTTGTATCAGCACCAACGGACTGATTGGTGACGAAATCTCAGCACGGATCCAAAAAGCTCGGGCTGCTTTCGCTAACTTACACCGTCTCTGGTGTAGGCGTGACATTCGGCTATCAATCAAGGGACGTGTGTACTGCTCAGCAGTTCGCTCCGTCCTTCTCTATGGCTCTGAAACATGGCCAATACGAGTTGAAGACATGAAAAGGTTGACTGTTTTTGATCATAGATGTCAACGATCTCTTTCTCACGTTACGTGGTATAATAAGGTAAGTAATGTTGACGTTAGGTGTAGAGTGTTGGGCAAAGAGGAAAAATCAATCGATCAGGCTATAAAGTTACATAGATTGAGATGGATAGGTCACGCGCTGCGCATGCCTAACCATCGCCTCCCTCGATGGGCATTACTAGCTGATATAGGTGCAGGTTGGAAAAGAGTAAGTGGTGGTCAAACAAAAACATGGCATGAATCAATCCATGAAGTCCTTGACAGTTAAACTGAGTCAGGTAGGGAGATGCAGACTTCCGGGTTGGGGCCCACCCTCGGGACTCTAAGAACCAGTGGCTGGAGGCAATAGGTGACATGACTAAAAATCGTTGTCAATGGCTTACGCAGATGTATTCAGTCTCTGTAATCTTTCATATTCTTTTCTACCATTACTCATTCTGTTTCACTCTTATACATGTCAAAAGTCTATTGATTCTCTTCACTCATTTTCTTGTCTACCTCTGTGTGCTGTTTGGAACGTGGCAACTCTCACTGCTGCACTTTGGTGCCAAGTTCTATGTTGAATCCAGCCAGCCAGCCAGTATTCAAGTGTATTGACCAAGTATATTAATGATAACAATCGATCAAGAGACTTACTGGTATATTAGCTTTCACATCGTTAGGAGATATCAAATTGTTTAGTATTGGTGACAAATTCGATCATGGATTAATTAATGTCAGTTGGAAAACCGATAAGAAGACTTTAGAAGATCTGGATTTCACGTGTAGACAATCTACGTTTAATGTCATACAAACTCAAAGACCTGCAGGCAGGCGAAAACTAGTAAACTAGCTGAAGAGGCTGGCTGACAGCGAAGACGGGACCCCCGGTGTATATAGAAAAGGTGGAGACGGGTCCGACAAAAACAACCAACCAACCAACAACAACAGAAATAAAAACCCACACCAATCACCATCAGCGGGAGAGATTTGATACAGGTTAATTCCTGCGTTCACTTATCTAGGAAGCATGATTTCAACTATTGGAATTCGAAATGGATGACGATGTCACACCAAGCCAGCCAGCCAGCCAGAATCGGAAAGGCAGGATACGCCTTCATCAACCTGAAACCAGTTTGGAAGTCTTCTGTACCGCAATCCACCTAAGCGAAACAACAAGATTCGGATTCTGTTCAACACAAATGTGAAGTCAGTTAGTCAGTCAGTTCTTCTATACGGGTCAGAAACTTGCACTGCGTTCTCGTCACGAAAAGGATTTTTAACAAGCCATCGCAGACTTTTATCAACAGGTGTGGCACCTGTCGCCGGCTGTCTCCATACTGAAAATCAAATAACCAGCTGGCCAGCCAGAAAGAATTAGCAAGAATAAACTCTGGCTGGGAAAAAACCAACGGCGAGAGCCGATTGCTCAAAAAATATGTATGAGAAAATGGAGATTGATTGATCGGACATACGTTGAGGAGGCCGCCGAACGACATCGCGCGCAATGCAGGCGATCGCTGTAGTGGAATTCCAATGGGAAGTGACGAGTGAGTCGTCAGTGCGACGGTGACGTGGAGGATATCGTGTGAGGAAGAGATGAGAGATTATAGATGATCTTGGACGCAGCTGAAGAGGACAGTAGAGAGTACAACAAAGTCGAGATATGTCGCTGAAACCCTAAGTTCCACTCGAAACCCAGTGGAATAATAATAATAACAGAAAACCATTGGACATCTGACCCACTCTAGTTTGGGACTCTTCAGAAGGGATCTTCCAGTTACAAGACGAGCTGGTAAACTATTCAAACACTGGGACCCAATTCAATATCTCATGAATTCCAACTTCTTCTGATTCGCGATACAGTTAGTGCGACTAATGTCAGCTTATCATTAAATCTGTGGTGACGCGTCATGACCAGTGGGTTCATGAAGTCCAGTACTGTAACGACAGCAGATTGACCGTCGGATTTCGTCTAAGTGCCTGGAAGTGGTAGGTGTATCCTGCTAAATTCTTCCAAAATTAGGCGAGGAACAACTGTTCAGTATACAGTGTGGCTTTCAGTGATTTTTTTAATTAATTTGACTTGAAAGTGACTCTTATTATTATTGATTATCCAGCCGACCAATTATGATTGCTCAAGAGAAAGACAAGCTATCTAGCTATGCCACTTCGATGTGTATCTATAAATTTAGTTACTCCTAAGGAGAATGCTATATAAAGCGAACAACTAGACAGCTTAACAAACGCATTAATGAGCATCTTCCTTCATGGTTCAGAAAAGGTCAGATAAAATCTCTAAGAAGTTCTATTTTAGGTTATTTGATTGATGATAGCGGTCATCAAGTGGATAGAAGAAGTAGTGCCTTCAAAGTTATATATCGCATCCCATCGAGTCTTTTGAAGGGAATTCGAATCCCCCTTTTACACACAGCCGAAGCTATGGGAATTAATTCGATAAAACAATCCTAGTGCCTATGCATACAAAAGAAGTTTTTTTCTACCTTTGTCTCTCCCTTGCTTGCCTAGGTAAAGTGTAATTAAAGCCCTCCCACCCTTTCGTATTTTCCAATTCTTTCGTACTTTTATGATATTTATTTAAACTCTAATTATCTGTCCACTTCACCCTGAGTATTACGCAACTTTGAAGATTTGACCTAATTATTTATTTATATTACTACCTTCATTATTCTTATTGCCACCTGCATAAACCTTATTATCACTATTTTGTCATCATTATAATCATCGTTATTAATGACATTCTATAGTTTGGTTTGTAGGGGTTAGTTTTGTTTTTACGAGTTGATCACTGATTGATGTCAGTTAGAGAACCATTGAAAACCATCCAGGGAATACTGAACAGCTGTTTCGTCCTAGTTTGAGAATCATCGTCAGTACGCACCCACCGCCAGGGTTCGAACCCAGGACCTTCAGATTACAAGGCAAATTCGTATACCGTTCACCCACTGGGACCCGACTCCTCAATGTTCAGCCAGCCCATGAATTCTAACTGCATTTAGCGCGACTGGCACCAACCAATGTCACTGGCGAGACATCCATCCTCACACACTTGACTACTGGATGGACCTCACTTGTCATGACTTCTCACTAGAACTCCAGAAAACTCCATCCTGTAGCCAGTAGTCACCAGAGAGTATCAGATTAATATTCTATAGTTAGGTTTGTAAAGGTTAGTTTTGTACGAGTCTCACACTTACGACAATGGTTGGGGTCGCGCTAAATCACGAATTCATGAGCCACTGAATCGGATCCCAGTGGCTGAATGTTATTAATGACGTTCAAAACATCTACCACAAAATCACCGTCATTGGTTAAATTCTGTTTTATATTATAAATCTATGTAAATTAGAGAGTGAAGCCTGAAGAAGATCTAATTGAAAACGACAGTATTGTTCGCTTATATGTGTCTTGTTCTAACTATCCTTGTGTTGTGTTAACCAGGACTTGTTGCATTCATTTCATGACCACTATTTTTTCTTCTTTTTTGTCTTTCAGTCGGAAAATAAACAATTCACCTTCATTGAATTATTATATCAACAAAGTTAATAGTCATAAGAATCATGAAACTCAGGCGTTACATCCAGTTCAACAGTCTTCAGGAATATTTAGTCGTAAACAGGAAATAATTATTATGCCTAACCATAGTACCAAAAATAATAATAACAATAATAATAAACTATTGAAGGATACATTACCACAGTCAAGTGTCACACCAACCAGTCAACAGCAACATTCACAGTTGTCAGCAGTCTATGCTAAAGAGAAGTCGAATTCAATTAATGTTCATTTCAGACAGGTAATTCGTTTGTTAGTTATATGTGTGTGTGTATAACTTGGGCTATGTGGTAGCGTGTATGATAGTAGTATGTAATCACAGTGAACAATTGCTTTCGATTTGACTTCTCTCTCAAGCTCTAATAGTTCGTTTTCCAGAGTTGGTTTGTAAGGATTAGCTTTGTTTTTACGAGTTCAACCACGGATTGATATCAGCTAGGGAGTACTGGACAGCTGTTTTCTCCTTCCTAGTTTGCGAATCATCAACAGTACGCACCCACCTCCAGAGTTCCAACCCACAACCTCCCAGTTACAAGGCAAGTTCGTATACCATTCAGCCACCGGGACCTGATTCAGTGACCAGTCCATGAATTCTAACTTCTGCCAATTCATGACATAGCGCGACCGCTAGCCAATGTCTTCAGCGAGCATTTGTCTTCACGCCGGACCTGCTGCACCCTACTGGTCACGACTTCCCACTACAACTCCAGGTGACTACCTACCTTAATAGGGCCAGTCGCAAGTGAGCATCTCATCGATGGAGCGAAGGATGGATGTGCTTCCCTTGCATATATAAATCCGCTATAGCTAAGAGACGTAATAGTGTACATGTAGGCAGATTGTTTGGTACTCAATATACTACAACCATAAATGAGTGACTTATCTATTTTGATGTGGTGTTTCCTATCCACTATTTGGGATAAAATGGAACTATTTATTCACTTGGTTACTCTTTTTCGAAGCCAATCCTTCTTCCGTCCTGTTACATTGGATTTCAAGACCACCATCCGATCCAATCCTACTGGCAGAAGTTAGAATTCATGGGCCGTTGGATTGGGTCACAGTAGCTTAATGGTCTATGAGCTCGCCTTGTAACCAAAAGGTCCTGGATTCGAACCCCGATGGGTACGTACTGTTGAAGAGTCGCAAACTAGAACGAAACAGCTGTCTAGTCCTCCTAGGTTTTCCAATGGTTCTCTAACCAATGTCAGCTCATAATGAAATCCTGTAACCTACTGTAAGATTTTGCGGAATTCCATGCACTTCTATAGCTGAGCTATTTTCTCAGTTTCTTACCTCATTAGGATCAACGAATGCAGATTTTACTAGGTGTTTGTTCTCAGCTAGTCTAGTCTGATTTACTTCTTTCTACTACTTCGCCTTATATATTTCACCTGACAATCATTCCAGCAGAGTATAAGATGAACTAAGTCTTTTCCTTTTATGAGCTTCACAGGAACCTTTAACCGGCATAATGTGTTTCTAAGCAAATTTGTGGGCTCTAATACCACTTTTATTCCTGCATTTTTAAGAATTATATGTAAGGTTTCAGAGATTCCTTCTTTGTATGGAAGTACTACTGATGGTGATTTAAATTCCTTATTGTTGGTGTTATCATTCGTGTCATCCTTATTATTATTATCATTATTGTTATCAATTTTAGTTTCGCAATTTCCTGAATACTTTCAGATTGATGTCGTGGAGTAATTATTAATTTCCAAAACTTCTCTTCTATCTCTCATTGCCTGTTTTAAATATTTCACCAATCCTATTTTTAGTGACATAGGGTAGGATGATCGGAAATTCAAATATCGGTTTAAATGTGTGAGTTTTCTACTTCTACTAATGTCTCATGTTTTAAGTACAGTGAATATGTCATCTACATACCTCTACCATACATTGGATAATGCGGTCAAACATTCCAGTCGTTAAGTTTTTCCCACCTAACCATGAATACATCTGCCACTACTGGAGATATTGTGCGTCTGTCGCTTAGCGGTAGAATGCTCACCAACCGTGCTTGTAGTTTGGAGTTCAATCTTCGTCCACTGGACGCACTCCTTTACGTCGCTAAGCCAGTAAGAAGACAGGTAAAGAAGGAAGGTTGAGCATGAGGTCAACAACCCCGCCCCGTAAAAATAAGCACTACTGCTACCGAAACTTCAAAGCTCTATCTCGAAGCTCTGTGAACCACTGGGATAGTAAAGGAATAAGATAAATAATAACTGGGGATATTGGTAACCTCATGGCAGCTGCCTCAGTGATTGTGAATTTACTTAGTTTGTTTTGTGTTCAACCTCAAATCCCCAGCTGACAGCCTCACTTATCGTGTGATGATTGACGATACTACTGCCTGCTTGGCTACGATGAAGTAGTTGTAGGTTCGGAACTCGAACCTATGACCATCTACATAGGAGAGAAAACTGAGTGCTTAAGCCAACACCCCTCCTGCATCTTGCTGGAACTTGGGACCATGCCTAATGGACATAACTAGTCTACCCTCATTCTTCTAGGTAAATAAATCTGTCAAGGAACTTAGCCCTAAGTTCCTATCGTAATGAAGACTTAAGCGATTGAGCCGATAAATACTATGTACTTTCTTCAACTTTAAATCCAAAACACCAGTATTCCTAGAACGAAATTATATTGTTTGGCAATTAAATTGAAGAAAACTACAAAGTCTACAAACAAATGTTAAGTACAAATGAAGTTATAAAGTACTTTTATTCGTATTCAACTCCAGTCTTCCTTCAACTTGCAAGCGATCGACCATTCGCGCGTTTCAGTTGCCCATTAATGGCTGCCAGACCCAATAAAACAAACGTTCAATGTTCACGTCCATTGACAGAATCACTGAGTGACAATTGACCAAATATTAAAATTTGTTTATGGTCAACATTGATCAAGAGATAAAATATGAGCGAAATCCCCCCTCCTCCCGCATATTCATATCCTGTAGGCTATTATTATTTTATTATCATGACTCTATTTGACCAAAAGGCGTGTGTACTGCTCAGCGGTTCAATCCATCCTCCTCAATGACTGTCAGTGAGACATGGCCATTGAAAGTGGAAGACATGGAAAGGCCGGCTAGTTGTCTTTGGTCATAGGTGTCTGCGTTCTATCTCCCATGTGAAGTGGTATAAAAGGGTGAGCATTGCTGAGGTTAGGCGTTCGTTGAGTGCTTGGTAAGGAAGCGAGATCAGTCGACGAGGTTGTGAAGTTACACCGATTGAGATGGTTAGGACATGTGTTACGCATGCATCTCTAGCCATCGCCTTCTTCTACGGGTAATGTTAGCTGACTGGCATAGGATCAGGTTGGAAAAGAGTTAGCTAGTGGTGGTCAAACCAAAACATGGCTTCATCAGTCAATAAAATTCACAACAGTTAGTTTAAGCCAGTCAGCCAGCCACGTAGGGAGGTGTAGACTGACTGGCTGTCTGGTTGGGGTCCTCAGGACGGTCAAAACCAGTGGAGACTGGCGACAATCGGTGATATGGCTGGCTCAAAATCGTTGTTCTCAGTTGCTGGTGCAGATGCATCCACTTCTTGTGACTTGTAGTATCCAATGTAACTATATTGTTCTTCGATATTGCTATTCTTTCTGCCTCATATCTCTGTTTACTGCCTCTATTTTGAATCTCTTTTTACTTTCTTCTCTTGCTCTGTGTGCTAAGTGAAAGGGGGCGACTCGAACTGCTTTACATCGGTGCAAAGTTCTACATTAAAACCAGTCAGTCATGATAGTCAAAGCATAAATTTATTGAAGAAGTTTCATATTGAGAACAATAATGATAAATAAAAACCTTACAGTTGATGCTTTGATGTTTGATATGACTCAGTGCTAGGCTCAGATATTAGCCACATCCATCTGACGACATCCGATTTGGACGAAATATGTGTCTTATAACCTCGCACTGCCTCCTCTCTAAAAAGAGCCTATATATGTATGATAAAACACTGAGACGTTTTTTCACGATGTCAGTCACTTTATGAACACTTTCGACCAACTGAGTCTTCAAGGTTTATATGTGGGTGGTTCACTGGTAGGAATGCTCGCTGGCCATACACAAACATGTGCTCCCTCTGAAACTCAGTAATAGATACTCCACTATCACTTTAAGTGGGAAGATGTAGATACACTCACCAGTTGACGAGCCTTAAATAGGACAAGACGCTAATTCTTTGAATTCCACTAATTAAATTCAAGAAGAGTTGCTAATGAATAAGGTGAAGTGTTTCCATTGGTCCTTTCTTGTTCTCATTGCCATTAGAAACACCATGATAAGATAAGATAAAATCAGTGTGTTGGTTTGAGGGAATCTGATTGGTTACAGGTCTGATAACAAGTTGACATCAGTTATAGAATCATTGGAAAGTCAACAGCTGTTTTGCCCTAGTTTGGAGAGGCTCTTTAACGGTGCTTACCCAATGAATTTTGATCCCATGACTTTCCGATTACACGGTGAGTTCTTAAACTATTCAGCTAATGCGAGCTGATCCAATGGCTAGATCATGAATTCCAACATCTACCAATTCGCAGTGTGTATAATGCAACCTCCAGTCAGTGTCACAAGCGAATAACTGTTCTGTTGCCTAAGTTGGGGGACGCCACTGGTTCCTGCTTCTCGCTGTAACTGTAAATAACTTCCTGTATAGAACTTGTCGCTAGTGAATATTAGATGAATTTTCAATTGTTGGTTTACTGGGATTTGATTGGTCCCTCAACCACGAAACAGCGGACAATAAGGAAACAGGCATAAAATGGACTCACATAAAAACTTGGAGGATCTGGACTTCGCCAACGATGATATATGTCTGATTTCCCACAAACTGGAAGATATGCAAGCGAAAATCAACAAGTTCGCAGAAGAAGCATCAAAGACAGGACTTCAGGTGAACATAGAGAAAACAGAGGTGTTGAAGATTCTTGGCCAACAGCAAAAGCAGCAACAACAACAACAGATAACAATAAGCATAAATGGAAGGAACCTGAAAGAAACAACCTCCTTCACCTACCTACCGACCTACCTGAGAAGCATCGTTTCAACTACAGGCGGATGGAACTGACGAGGATATCAAAGCAAGAATCGGGAAAGCAAGACAAGCCTTCATTACTCTCAAGCCTGTGTGGAGGTCAACAGCACTCATCATCAAAAATGAGATCCGGATTTTCAACTCCAATGTGAAGCCAGTTCTACTATACGGATAGATCAGAGACTTGACGCCACACTGCGTCACGAAGGGCACTTTGAACAAACTACAGACCTTCACCAACAACTGTCTTCGCTCAATACTCAAGATCAGATGGCCGGCCAGAAAAGATCAGCAACAGAGATCTCTAGGAGCAAACCAACCAGGAACCGATTGTGCAACAAGTAGGCAGGAAGAAATGGAGATGGATTGGCCATACTCTGAGGAAACCATCAAGTGACATCACTAGACAAGCCATTGCTCGAGTGGGACCCGAAAGGGAAGTGGCGAGTTGGTCGTCAGTGCGAGGGTGACTTGGAGGAGGTCACGTGAAGAGGAGATGAAAGAGTATGGGCAGACTTGGAGCCAGGTGAAGACTCTAGCAGAGAACCTAACGCAATGGAGACACGCCCTATATTCCTTTAGGAATTAAAGGAAACAATAATAATAATCAACCACGTAAGAGGGCAGTTACTCACCGATGACTTTGGCTGGTGGTTGCTCTAGACATAGTGGATTTCCAGAAGTTTGAATTCACCGGTTATTCGACCGGGTCTCTGAGGTTAAGTAGTCTAATGACTCGTCTTGTAACCGGAAGGTCCTAATTTCGAACCCCAAACACTAAGAAATGTCCAAACTTGTAATTCCATTTTTTCGTCGTATTTTCTAGACTTTGACATTCATAATACTTTACTTTTTGATTTTATAGAATGTCTCTGATAATAAACCGAAATGTGTTGATGTCAGGCGTACAACACCAAGACAACTGAAACAATATCAATCGAAACGTGGTCACCTCTTCTCATCAACATCCCCACCAACTTCAACGACAACCACCCTCACAGAATCCGATCATCATAAAGCTTTATTCAATCATGCCATATCTGAAAAAAGTAAAACCACAGGAAATTATCACACTGCCGGAGGGAAATCTGCCCATGCTCAACAACCACAACAAATACATCCCGGTGATTTGGCCTCCTCTTTAATACGTACAGCAAGCCTACACTTGAAAACAACCCTTTCACGATTAAAACGATCGAATAGTGGGCATACAAGTAAATCTTTAGATAATTCAATGCATACAACGAATACTACCACGACTACGACGATTAATAATACTAACAAAACGACTACTGCTGCTGCTGATAAGACATCTCTACGTCGTAGTTCTATGCCGTATGATCAGAAATCAATAAAAACTATTACAAAATATTATGAACGACAGTCATCAAATCATGATGATGATGATGATGAATTATCACCTGGTTGTACAAAATGGTCTACACGACTAGGTCCTCCGCCACCGTGTACTCTGAGTACACCGATTGTCGCATCATCAATTCATAGAAACACTTGTCCAAAATGTACCACCTCGACGGGGACCTACGCGACTACAATAACCACAGTCTCTGCTGGTACACGAGCACTGGCAAGTGAAAATAAAGATTCGTCATTATCGCATCCATATACCTCTACTACTACAACTAATACTACTAACAGTGGTAATGTGAGTAGTGCATTTTATTCCTTGCCTACATGTGAATCAAACGAGATTAATCTACTAGCTGATGATTGTATAGATTTTGGTACACTTGGTCGGATTAATTTTCGTACAGGTAGTTTTATGGGTCGTTATCCAAACTATTCACGATCGAATCAACTTCAACAGTATTCCCGTGGTCAAAATACAAGCCATATTCAACAACAACAACAACAACATCAACCACAACCACAACAACGTCCATCTGATTATCGACCACTTTACTTGTCAGTTCAACCTCAAACATCATCATCCTCGGGGAATACAACACGTTCTGCGCCTTCACCAAGTCTTTCATCAATCACATCAACACAAGGCATATTAGTATTGTCTTCATCGTCACCTAGTGGTAGTTATCATCAAGATGCATATCAGCATCAGTTGAATCAATGTCTTCAACAGAATAAGCCAATCGCCTTGAAGACATCCTCTGCTTCATCGATTACAGTTGCAGGATCATCGTCACGTTCATCTAGAAATTATTCTTTGCATTATCCACAGGCAGGTGATAGTGTTGTTGTCTTCGGTAGTGGTGGTGGTGTCGGGGGTGTTGAAGACTACTCAATACCTGTTCAACATGAGGATATTTTATCTGTATCAAGTAGAAATCCACATCGTGAGTTAGATCCAATTCTGGCACGTCTTCTATCAGATGTTACGAGTATTGATGAGTATAGATCTTCATTACAACCTCATGGTAAGTTATGATTTCATTGAGTAATCTGTCTTCCATGTTTTCTTCTGGCCTATTCATAAACATTATTACTATTATTGTTCCCCTGCTTTCCTAGTGGAACATACGGCTTCAACTGCATGCCCTGCACTTGCTTCTGTCTTCTGCTGTACTTTCCACCTGCATTCATGTTAGTCCATACTGTTTCAACTCCTCTTCGCACGATCTCCTCCATGTCAGCCTTGCACTGACGTCCCACTACTCGCCGCTTCCCTTTCGGGTTAAACTCGAGCGTTGGCCTGACGTGCGATGTCACCCAGCGGCCTCCTCAGCCAGTGAGTGTCCAATCCATCTCCACTTTCTCCTACATATTTGTTGGGTGATTGGTTCTTGTTTCGTTTTTTCCCATAGTTTCTTGTTGGTGATTCTTTCCGGCCATCTGATCTTCAGTATAGAGCTAGCGAAGACAGCTGCTGATAAAGGTCTGCAACAGGCTGTTGGAAATATTCTTTGTGACCCGCCAAGTTTCTGATCCGTACGTATAGAAGAACTGACTGACTTGAAGTTTGCATTGAAAATGCGAATTTTGTTGTTGATGGTGAGGAGTGACGAAGATTTCCAGATTGGTTTCAGGTTGATGAAAGTGTTTCTCGCCTTCCCGATTCTCGATGTGACATCCTCGTCCGTTCCTCCTGTAGTTGAGACAATGCTCCCTAGATAAGTGAATGAAGTAACCTCTTTCAAATCCCTCCTGTTGATGGTGATTGGCGGTGGATGTTGCTGCTGTTGTTGTTGTTGTTGGTTGGTTATTTTCATAACCTTCGTCTTGTCTATGTTCACCTGGAGTCCTGTGTTTGCTGCTTCTTCGACCAGATTGTCAGTTTTCGCTTGTAAGTCTTCGATTTTGTGTGACATCAAAAATAAATCATCCACGCGCGAAATCCAGGTCTTCTATGTTCTTCACATCGGTCCAGGATATCCCTGTCTTCTCGTTTCCCACTGTCTGATGCATAATCCAGTCCACCACAATTAGGAATATCATTGGTGATAATAAGCACCCTTGTCTGACTCCTGTGTTTACTCCAAACGCTTCGCTGAGTTTTCCGTTTTGGATCACTTGACATGTTCCGTTGTCGTACAGCTATTGAATAAGGTTGATGAATATTTGGGGTACGCCGTAGTACTCGAGTATTTTCCGAATTACTTCGCGGTCAACGCTGTCGAAGGCATTCTTAAACATGGTTTGTTGAAATAGTCTACGCCATGTCTAGCGTGGGCGTGACATCCGGCTATCAACCAAGGGACGTGTGTACTGCTCAGCAGTTCACTCCGTCCTTCTCTATGGCTCTGAAACATGGCCAATACGAGTTGAAGACATGAAAAGGTTGTCTGTTTTCGATCATAGATGTTTCGACCTCTTTCTCACGTTAGGTGGTATAATAAGGTAAATAATGTCGATGTGAGGCGTAGAGTGTTGGGCAAAGAGGGAAAATCAGTCGACGAGGCTATAAATTTACATAGATTGAGATGGCTAGGTCACGTGCTGCGCATGCCTAACCATCGCCTCCCCCGACGGACGGGCATTACTAGCCGATAAAGGTGCAGATTGGAAAAGAGTGAGTAGTGGCCAAGCAAACACATGGTATCAATCCATGAAATGTTTGACAGTGAAACTGAGTCAGGTAGGGAGATGCAGACTTCCGGGTTGGGGCCCGCCCTCGGGACTCTAAGAATCAATGGCTGGAGACAATAGGTGACATGGCTCAAAATCGTTGTCAATGGCTTAGGCAGATGTATTCAGTCTCTGTAATCTTTCATATTCCTTTCTACCATTACTCACTCTGTTTCGCTCTTTTACATGTCAAAAGTCTATTGATTCTCTTCACTCATTTATTGTTTACCTTTGTGTGATATTTGGAACGTGGCAACTCGAACTGCTGCACTTCGGTGCCAAGTTCTTTGTTGAATCCAGACAGACAGACAGACAGAAATAGTCGGTTGAAAAATTTCATTACATACTGCGGTTTCATACTTTTTGAAACTCTGCTGTATGATGTATCTGTGCGGTGATTATTCAGCGGTGAATGCTCGTTGACCACTCCTTAATTGTTTCGGGCTATATTAGTTGACGTAGGATCGGTGAGTCTGGAAAAGAGCTAGTGGTAGGTGGTCAAACGGAAACTTGAAAGCAGTCCATGAAATCATTAAAAGCTAGTTTAAGCCACGTAGAGAGGTGTAGACTTCCTGACTGGTTGGGGTCCTCAGGATGCTAAAAACTAATGAGGGCTGGAGACAATTGGTGATATGGTTCAAAATTGTTCTCAGCTATGGCTGGCACAGATGCATTCACTGTCTGCACCCTGTCATATCCAAAAAACCCTATTGTTCCTCTATGTTACTATTTCTTATTCCTCACATTTCTGCTTATTATCATGGAGTTGCATTCAGTACTTCAGATCTCAAGACTGATTCTCTTACCTCTTACATACGTACATCTCCAATAATTAAGAACATATAGGGGCCATAAGTTGCCATATTAAAATGAAAATTCTATAGGCATTAATATTACACATCTTCTTTTACTGTTTCAGTTCAGTATTATTAATAAAAACACCTTTATTACTTGAATAAGATATTTAGAAGACAAATTTCGGAAGTTGCATCAGCCAACGCCAACGGGTTGATTGCTGACGAAATCTGTGCACCGATACAGAAGGCTCATTTCACATATGCCAGTTTACACCATCTCTGGCCTAGTAGACGTGATATCCGGCTATCGACCAAACGGTGTGTGTACTGCTCAGCAGTCCGCTCCGTCCTCCTTTATGGCTGGCTGTAAGACCTGACCATTGAGAGTGGAAGACATGGAAAGGCCGGTTAGCTGTCTTTGATCATAGGTGCCTGCGTTCTATCTCCCGTGTGAAGTGCTCGTATAATAAGGTGAGCAATATTGATGTTAGACATCAGTCGAGTTCTATGTAAGAAAAGGAAGTAAATCGACGAGACAGTGGAGTTACATAGATTGAGATGGTTAAGACATGTGTTACGCATGCACACCTAGCCATCACCTTCCTTGACAATTGGCAATGTTAGCTGACATAAGGTCATATCGCAAAATAGTTATCCAATGGTGATCAGACCAAAACATGGCTTTATCAGTCAATGAAATTCACAACAATTAGTTTAAGCCAGCCACGTAGAGAGGTGTAGACTCCCTGAATGATTGGGGCCCTTGGGACGGTAGAAACCAATGAAGTCTGGAGACAATTGGTGATATGGCTGGTTCAGAATCGTTGTTCTCAGTGATGGCTGGGGCAGATGCATCCACTCCTTGTGACTTATAATATCCAATGTAACTACATTGTTCTTCGATATTACTATTTCTTTTTGCCTCATATCTGTGTTTACTGTCTCTATTTCGCATTTACTTTTACTTTCTTCTCTTGCTTTGTGTGCTACATGGAATGAGTGTGGCGACTCGAACTGCTGCACATGTGTGCAAATTTCTACGTTGAAGCCAGTCAGTCAGTCAGTATCATCCACATAACGACGTTTACAGAGCATAAATCCTCCTAACATACCTTGCATTTGTTTCTCCATTTTTGACATGAATATATCCCTTTATTATTATTATTATTATTATTATTATGTAGGCTCAATTACACCTCCATCAACATCAAGTTCATCGATACACCGAAAGCGTAACACTGCCGCTCATCAAAAACAACATTCACCCATGTTGACAACCGCTTCAAGTGATCCAGATTCAATTTCACGATCTGCTGAAAATCTATCGATTCAACAAAACATCATGGATGATATATGGGATTTAAATAAACAAATTGGAGATTTAATACAAATGGAATTTCATTATAGGCAGAGAAAGCCAACGACAACAACATCGACAGCAACAACAAAAACAGTCTCAGCGATGAAAAAATATCAATCATCTCCTCATGGTACCTTGATATCGGGATCTAGAAGTTCAGCACCAAAGTAAGTTAGTTCATGCAGATATGATCAGTTGAAATGAGGATCTTTTTTATGGTTTTTAATTTGACAGAAGACCAGTAGTTCAGCGAAGAGTATCTTTTCGGCGGCGAATTCATTTTCATAGCTGCACAATCGCAAATATATATGGTTGTTTTGTATGTGTGTGTACATAGGGTGAACATGGAAACAAAATAACATATGGAATTACACAAGAAGTTTAAGTAGTTAGAAAAATAAGCATACAAACAAAAGTTAAGTCAAATCAACAGAGTTGTTACCATGATAGTAGAAGTGGTTGAATAATTTTCTTTAGTATGCATAGTTCTGGTTCTTTCAACTGAATGGCTGAAATGCAAAGAAGACGGTTGTTCTTCACTTTGTAGATTACTTTGAAGCAGGAGGCGTTTGTTGAGATGGAATGACCAGTAGTGACGAGATATTCGATTATTGAACTCCTTATACGGCCCCTACTTCCTTTCTGCAGCCACTCTGGATAGTGTCCTTTGACCCTTTTTGCCAGGATGCATGTCAAATGACCGATGTACCTGCTCGGCCCCATAGCAACAGGTGAACTGATATATACACATAGAAGTGGTCAGGTGTGGGGTCTTTTCCTTTGAGCTTCTGCAGATTAGCAGGCGACTGGAGAACACTACTCTCAATGTTGCCGCAAAGAAAGTTCTTCTTAAAGAAGTGGAAATTCTCCCCCTAAGGACATCGCTGAGTAGGTCACCTTTGAAGTCGAGGTTCATATAAAGTATCTTTTTTTGACACGGATGGCCTCTCTTGCTTTTGAATTTCCTGTTTGATGTTTTTGTCTATGAATCCTGGTGGAGAACGGTTGTGTAGTTCTTCTTCCAGGGTATCAGACCTGCAGATGCGTCGGACGCGAGTAGCAAGAGATCTAATTAGGTTTCTTTTTCGACTGATTGGTACCCACTTGTAGAAGCTTGTCAGTTGGCCGTCCCATATAGGTTTCCTATGGATGGACCTTCTTAAAGTTCTGTCAGCTCTCCTTGTAAGTTCAGCATCAAACTAATCAGGGCCCCTACAACAACAAAGTTTATGATCTCCGGCTCTTAAGTGCCTACTGGATGGATATTCTGAAGCTGTACTGAGACGCTGTGTCCATTGGGGTCCCTCTCACGTGTCAGGAATGATGAAGTAGGCGCTAATCAAAGGCATACGTTGAGCGGTCACGAACTGACAAAGTTAGAAGTCAGTTATCGGTTTGCAGGGATTTGATTGGTTGCAGGATTTCATCATGAGCTGACATCAGTTAGAGAACCATTGGAAAACCTGGGAGTGCTAGAGAGCTCTTTTGTCGGCCTAGTTTGTGACTCATCATCAGTGTGAACCCAGGAACTTTTGGTTACAAGACGAGCCGGCTCGTAGACCATTAAGCCACTGGAACTCTATCCAATGGCCAGCCCATGAATCCCAACTTCTGCCAATTCAAGACACACCACGACAAGCACTGGCCAGTGTCATCAATGGTGAATATTCGTTCTCACACACGACCTGCTGTACCTCCTAAAATTAACGCATCGTTGAATTCCGGCTGCCATTTGTCTGGGTGTAATTAATAAAGATTTGAGAAGTGAGAAAATAAACAAGTTAGGTCAAGTTAAAAGGACATATTTAAGATCGAAATAACAATAAAGATCACTAAACCAAAAAGCAGAGGCAATAGTACATCTACCCTGACTAGTATCAAAACAAAATTTACCAAGGAAGGTTTAATGTGATGACGAATTGCTGCTTTGAACGCATAAAGGTGGTTTAAACTTTCTAATTGTCAGCTAGGGCTTCCACAAACTTTAGGATACTCCCTCCTCCAAACACATTTTATAGATAGGTTTAAAAGATGTGTTAACGTCAATTTTATGTCCTGTCTCTATAATATGTTTAGCAATAGAGGAGTTAGGTCTCCCGTTCCCATCATTAATGGGTTCTGAGGATTCAATTTGCTTCTGGAGACATTTAGGAATATACTCTGAAGCCAGCCCTTACTTGCAGAGATCGATGAGTCTTCCCTATGTATGTGTGGCCAAACACATATTCAAACTGGTAAATACAGTGAGATGTGACATCACTTTTCTCATGCTATAAGGGCTTCACATTCTCAATTATTATGATATTAGCTGCATAAAAAGTCTTTTTAACATCAGCGTTCAATTTTTGTCTAGTTGTCAAGCTGCTATGATGCGCCATATATAGGGTAGCTTGATGTACACGTCTTTCTTAGGGGCGAGTTGGAGAATGGGTCTTAGTGTTCTGACTACTTTATGTCTCCTGATGAACTTGTCTGGATAATTGTTATCAACCAGAGTTTGTGTCGACTTTGTTTCTTTAAAGCTGCTATTGTTATTATTATTATTATTATTCTAAACTTGTTTTCTAACAGTCTTCTTATCAAGACTATCACATAAAGTTCCGTATTGTGAGCATCATTGCTTCCAAGCATACGTTTATTCTGTTTCATGAATTATGTATATAAGAGTTCTCATCCGTTATTTTTCTGTCATTTCAACAGTGTACGAGTAGAAGAGAATAAAACGCCAGCCGATGTTAAGATTAAACAATCAACTGACGATGCTACATCCACTGTCCAACAACCTGTAAAACCTGGAAAATATACATCGCCTAGAAAACATCCATTCCGTTGGTCAAGTCGTTCAAGACCATCTCATAAGAAAATGATATTAGCGCATACACAATCAGCCAGTGGAGGTGATGGCAGTCATTATCATCTTACTGCTAAAGATGACAATTCAACTTACCAGTCGTCAGGTTCTTTACAACAACACCAACAACAACAGTCTACACCTGTCAAATCGATTATCAATACAAATTATGGCAATAATTATAATAATGTTATAACGCCTATATATACTTCACCGATTACCAGTAGTACACTATCAAGTGGTTTGCATCAACCGACACTGTCCAGTCGAATGGTTAACAATGCAGAGATTATACTTCATGATACTAAAAGTGAATATGATGAGACGGCGGAGTATGCAAGTTTTTGGTCATTATCTGTTGGACAGTTGACGATACTACGTAAATTAGCTTTAATACAGTTGGCGAGTTTAGCTGAGAAACATTGTTCGATTAATCGATCACCATTTAGTTGGTAAGTTTGATCTATTCAAGCCTATATTATTATTATTAGAATTTAGTTAGTGGATGGTAACTGACAATGGGATCCAAGATGCGCGTTTCGTCCTGTTTGAGACTCGTCATCTGGATGTACTTGCATTCCTCAATGAGTGATGATGTTCCCACCTAGGCTCGAACCCAGTACCCATAGTTTCAAACGCGACAGCGTTATCCACTGGACCACTGGGGCCACGGGAGCTGGCCACCTCTTGTGCAACCGGTCATATTAATAATTTAATTGAATTTTAGATTTTCCCGTCGATTGATTGATTGGACCGAAGTGCTCGGTCTCAGGTTGGCATGTTGGCTTCTTGTGCAGATGCTTCGGCGATGTCTGGGCATGTAATAAGAGGTTGATTGGTGGATGGTGACTAGCAGTGGAATCCAGGACAACGCGCATTTCATCCTATTTGGGACACGTCAACGAACTGAATGTACCTGCATTTCCCAGTCATTGAGTGATGATGTTCCCAACCGAGGCTCGAACCCAGTACCCATAGTTTCAAACGCCAAAGCGTTATCCACTAGACCACTTGGGCCACGAGAGCCACCAACTCTTGTGCGACGGGTCGGTCATATTAATTATTTAATTGAATTCTAGATTTTCCCGTCGATCGATTGGACCGAAGTGCTCGGTCTCATGTTGACATGTCTGTCGGCTTCTTGTGAAGATGCTTTGACGTTGTCTGGGCATGTAATTAAAGGTTAATTGGTGGATGTTGACTAGCAGTGGAATCCAGGACAACCAGCATTTCGTCATATTTGAAACTCGTCATCTGGATTCCACTGCTAGTCACCATTCAACAATTAACTTCTGATTAAATGTCCAGACATCGTCGAAGCATCTACACAACAAGCCGATAGACATGTCAACCTGGGGCCGAGCACTTCGGTCCAATCAATCGACGGGAAAATCTAAAATTCAATTAAATATATTATTATTAATATATGTGTAAAACTTGGGCACTGTGGTAGTAAGTTATCCCATATTAGTTTGTTTATTAGATATATCACACACACAGTGAAGAAACAGTATTATTATTAACTGGATGACACAATTTTGAACATAATTTATTATTGTTCGTAATCATATCATCAATTATAATCACAAAACTTCGAAACTTGAGTTTTATAGTTTTCTTTGTTCTCTCCTATTTGTTATCGTAGGGGTAGTAGAAATTTTCCAGATATCTGAGTGGACAGGTGTTGAATCATTCCTATTACACGTGTTTGAAGTTGATTCGATAAACAAAGCTTCCGTTATTATCAATCTCTCCCTCCACCCTGTGATATTAAATTTTAATAAGAACAAATTAGTTCGGCGAAGAGTCTCTTTTCGGTGAATTCATTCACTTAGCTGTACAGTCGAAAATATATACAATTAATTTTGTGTGTGTGTGTGTGTGTACATTAGGTTTGTCAAAATCAAAATAAAAGTTAGTGTGGGTTGTTGATTATATCATCAAAATAATTAAGAAATTAAAATGTGGGATTAATAATCAAAGTTGTGACTAAGTGGGGTGAAGATTGGTAAGATGTGAGTAGGGTTACGTAATATAGACATGTTTAGAAAGATTAGATATTAGTGAAGGAGTATGGAGACAAATATGCAAATAAACTAGATAATAGGTGAAGAGATTGAATGGGTTAGTTACTAAAATTTATTATACGAAAATTGCAAAAAATTCGATAACAAAATGTTGATGACAGATAAACTTGAAATTAAACCCACGGTAGTAGGAGGGGGTGGAGAAGTTTCTTCTGTGTGCATAAATCAGGCTTTTCTATCCAAATCGCTAAGGCTTCGGCAATACAAAGTATACGGAAGCTTGTCGATTTTGGAAGGCTTCTTTTGACTTTATAGATGACTTTGAACGACTTCTCCTTGCAAATCGAATGACCAGTGTTGAGTATATGCTCAATAATGGCGCTCCTTATTGCTCCGTTGTTACCTTTCCGTAGCCAGGCGGAATAGTGTTCTTGAACTCTTTTAGATAAAACTCGCATCGAACGACCTATATACCTCGCTTCCTACCTATATACCTTCTGGCTCAGAAGGACATTCTTCGCTGCCACACACGACTGACACTTTCCTCCCGGCCATAGTTCTTCAACTACTCTAAAGATAAACTATCGCATTTGACCACTTCCATGTGTATCTACCAATTCACCTGCTCTTGTGGGGCGAGGTATATAGGTCGTTCGATGCGAGTTTTATCTAAAAGAGTTCAAGAACACTATTCCGCCTGGCTACGGAAAGGTAACAACGGAGCAATAAGGAGCGCCATTATTGAGCATATACTCAACACTGGTCATTCGATTTGCAAGGAGAAGTCGTTCAAAGTCATCTATAAAGTCAAAAGAAGCCTTCCAAAATCGACAAGCTTCCGTATACTTTGTATTGCCGAAGCCTTAGCGATTTGGATAGAAAAGCCTGATTTATGCACACAGAAGAAACTTCTCCACCCCCTCCTACTACCGTGGGTTTAATTTCAAGTTTATCTGTCATCAACATTTTGTTATCGAATTTTTTGCAATTTTCGTATAACAAATTTTAGTAACTAACCCATTCAATCTCTTCACCTATTATCTAGTTTATTTGCATATTTGTCTCCATACTCCTTCACTAATATCTAATCTTTCTAAACATGTCTATATTACGTAACCCTACTCACATCTTACCAATCTTCACCCCACTTAGTCACAACTTTGATTATTAATCCCACATTTTAATTTCTTAATTATTTTGATGATATAATCAACAACCCACACTAACTTTTATTTTGATTTTGACAAACCTAATGTACACACACACACACACACAAAATTAATTGTATATATTTTCGACTGTACAGCTAAGTGAATGAATTCACCGAAAAGAGACTCTTCGCCGAACTAATTTGTTCTTATTTCAATGTCTTAATGGGTATTTTTCGCGAATTAAATTTTGAAACTGTCATCTTATCCCATCTATCCTATTGCATGGTTGTGTGTACTTGCATGTCGTTTACTGATATAGCTGAACCACCATCACTCACTGGGGAGTGCAGGTGCATCTAAATGACGAGTCCCGAATGGGGCGAAGTGCGTATCCCCTGGATTCCGCCAATAGTCACCATCCACCTCCCTTGGGCATACTTATTTTGTGGCCAATAGGTTCTTGGTTTCAGTAGGAGGTCTAAAAGCTTCAGTTTTTTTGTGTTTGTCCAGACAAAACATTAAATCACAGGTAATATTTAATTAGTCTTAGTTCTTTTCATCTGTTTGATAGATAAAATACTCTTTTACTTTAATATAAAATATTTAACTACTTATTTTAGAATTAAGTAGTTAATTCACACTAATGGTCATTTTAATTTTTATACATTTCAGGCGATTTATAAAATATCGTGCTCTACTGTCTAGCGGTGATTCAAATCTCTTAGCGAATTCATTAACCACTTCACCTTTATCAGATAAAAAAGCATTTTCTAATTCAAATGATGAAACTTGTGCTACTCGATTGAATTCCACTGAGCAAAATAGTATTATTTCTCAACAAAATGAACGTATTATCACACAGTTACCAGTTCATCATAATGTAGCATACAGTGGTCCTGTATTCGGCCAATCACTGTCTAGCTGGCAACGTAGACTTGGTTATCCACTGCCACCAGCTGTTGTACATATGATGGATCATTTAGAAATGAATGGAACTACAGCGCATGGAATATTTCGACGTCCTGGAGGTAAATTAAGAATGTTGGCGTTAAGAGAAGAAATTGAACGGGATATAAGTGAGTTGTTTTTTGCATAGATTGCGTACTGTTTATTCCTTTTGCGTACCTATGGGAACACAGAGATTAAAGATGTAGGCTTTAGAGTTTTAGTAACGGTGGTGTTGTCTTTCGTCTTGTCTACTGGGTAGGGTTTGGAAGCATCGTTTCAACTACAGGCGGACGGAACTGATGAGGATATCAAAGCAGCGAGGATCGGGAAAGCAACACAAGCTTTCATTACTCTCACCAAGTCTGTGTGGAGATCAACAGGACTCAGCATGCAAAATAACATCCGGATTTTCAATTCCAATGTGAAGTCAGTGGTACTTCCTATACGGATCAGAGACTTGGCGCGTCATGAAGGGCAATTCGAAAAAACTACAGACCTTCATCAACAGTTGTCTTCGCCCAATACTACTGAAGATCAGATGGCCGACCAGAAAACATCAGCAACAGGGATCTCTGGGAGTGAAGCAACCAACCCAGCAGGGACCAACTGTGCAGCAAATATGCAGGAAAAAATGGAGGTGGATTGGCTGGCCATACTCTGAGAAAACAAACAATCAAGTGACATCCCACGCCAGGCTCTCTCTGTCGACTGGAACCCGAACGGGAAGCAGCGAGTTGGTCGCCATTGCGAGGGTGACATGGAGGAAGAGGTGATGAGAAGAGGAGATGAAAGCATGTAGGCAGACTCGGAGCCAGGTGAAAACGTTGGCGGAGAACCGAAGACAATGGAGACGTGTGGCTGAAACCCTATGTTCCTCTAGAGTAGGATCGCTAGTCTCACGCCAAACCTTCCCTGCTTTCCAGGCTTACTACCGGTTAGTCAAGGTTTAAAAGTACAGGAACATGAGGATTTTCTAGATCTCGGAGAGTACAATTAGAGTGAACACTTCTGTGTTACTGACAGCGATTTTTAGCCCTATTTCCAGCAGTTTTCATCTGTTGATTCTCAGCATCCTCAGGACCCCAGCCAACCAGCCAGACAGTCTACAATTCCCTACTTGGTTGGCAAGGCAGCTACTTTCTTCAGGTTTCCCACTCTCAGCTACCATATATCAGAATTATAAAGAAGGACAGAGCGAACTCCTGAGTAATTACAAACGTCTTTGGACCAACAGTCAGATATCATGCTTAGCCTTAGAGATATAACGGAAGTTTGCAAATTCTACACAGGACTTTTGTATCCGTACTGAGATTGCTTTTTACCAGCGTCACTTCGATGAGCAAAGCCCAAGAGTTTTAAGCTTTCTACTTCTTGTAATTACTGCTTTCCACTTGACTCACTTTCAATTTAAGCTGAGTTCTACTCAATCCCATCAATTAAATTACGTCACTCAATTTAATTCCATCTGTATGTCTGTTTTTGACACTGAAACTTTGAACCGATGTACAGCACTTCGAATCGTCACACTCCCTCCACGTAGCACACAAAGCAAGAGAAGAAAGTAAAAACAAATGCAAAGTAGAGACAGTAAACATAGACATGAGGCAAAAAGAGTAGTAATATCGAAGAAAAATATAGTTACATTGGATATTATAAGTCACAGGTAGTGGATGCATCTGCGCCAGCCATCAATGACAACAATGATTTCGAGCCAGCTATATCACCAATTGTCTTCAGTATTCATCAGTATTTACTGTCCAACCAGGTTGGCTGGCTGGCTTAAACTAGCTGTTGTGAATTTCATTGACTGATGAAGCCATGTTTTGATTCGACCACCACTAGCCAACTCTTTTCCAACCTGATCTATCCTATGTCAGTCAGCTAACATTGCACGTTGTCGAGGAAGGCGATGGCTAGGGATGCATGTGTAACACATGTCCTAACCATCTCAGTCGATGTAACTTCACAGCTTTGTCTATTGATTTCCTCTCTTTACCCAGCACTCCAAAGCCTCAGGAGGGTCGGGGGTGGGTGCCTTGCGCTGCGCGTTGGCCACCCCTCCGCACACCTCTTGAAATGCTCCTATATGACCGGGCGTCTTACATAGCCTCTCCTGAGGAACTCCTACTCACTGCCTTCACGTGGCGGAGGTGTTTTTCACCAAAGTGAGAGGGCGAAAGCGGATGCCCGGCGCTCTTCACCGGGTTGACTGTCCATTGGATGAAAGTCTAGGGGAGATGGCTAAACCCTGATTCCAAACCTCCAACGACTGGCGTATGAAGCTCACTGGAGCTCACCGGCAGACGTATGGACAAAGGGCTTGTTGGATGTCTGGCCCCATTCAAAAAGGCGTATGAACCGAACTCCGGTCACCGGCTGCCAGTGGATAGTGGACTCCCTACTCCACTCCTACTGCCTTGTAGGTCACACTTGGTTATGTAAAGGCTAGAGCTGCACTCTCAAACAAAAGGCCGAGCGATTCTGGGGATATCACTCGTACCAAATTCCCATGAAACTTCATGAACTCTCTTACAAACGAGGTACAGTCAAGGCTGATATGGAGTGCCTGGGGCTACAAACCGTCTACGAACTCCGTCTGTGGAACAAGAATTGGACAACCCTGTCGCAAAACCTTGCATCAGATCGCCGTGCCTGGGTAGCGATGATTCGAGATGTTCATGAAGCCGGCTCATCCTCTCGTAGGAGATAGCCGAAGTAAAGAAAAGAAAGAAGACCCAGCACTCGACGCCTAACCTCAATATTGCTTACCCTATTATATCAGCACTTAACACGGGAGATAGAACGTAGACACCTATGATCAAAGACAGCTAGCCAGCCTCTTCATGTCTTCCACTGTCAATGGTCAGGTTTCACAGCCATAAAGGAGGACGGAGCGACTCAATTTAATTATTTAACTTTACTTTAGTTTCCACCTTATTAACTCTTTCGTATTGCATAGTTGTTCTCAAAAATTCACAGTTCTCATAAGACATCTTTAGAAACACTCCTTTATTTGATAAGATAAAATTCACTGCTTTAGAATGATTTTGCAGATGGGCGCCTTTATTTCCTTGGACTCCATTTGAATAGCTCGCAGTCTCTTTATGACATATTTAAGTTACAGCACTCTCCCGTTTTGATTGGACAATAAGTAGCAAGTGACTAGTGTCGTGCCTTTTACCCTTTGTTTAGTGCAGACTAAATTCTACCACAATCAAGTTTGCTGTCTGCATGCCAAGTAATCCACAACGGGAAACTTACGAAATCCTTCGAAGTAAGGACGGAGTAAGACAAGGCTGCCTACTATCTCCAATGATTTTCCTGACTGCGGTAGACTGGATAATGTCACACACAGACAGCAGGCAATGAGGAGACAGGTATAAAATGGACCCACACAAAAAATTTGGAGGATCTGGATTTCGCCAATGATGATTTATGTCTGATTTCCCACAAACTGGAAAATATGCAAGCGAAATGCAACAAGTTGGCAGAAGGAGCATCCAGAGAAGATAGGACTTCAGGTGGACATAGTGAAAACAGAGGTGATGAAGATTCCTGGACAACACCACCAACACAAACAACAACAACAGACAATGATCAGCATAAATGGAAGGAACCTGAAAGAAACAACCTCCTTCATCTACCTACCTGGGAAGCATCGTTTCAACTACAGGCGGAACTGACGAGGATATCAAAGAAAGGATCGGAAAAGCAAGACAAGCTTTCACTACTCTCAAGTCTGTGTGGAGGTCAACAACACTCAGCATCAAAAATAGGATCTGGATTTTCAACTCCAATGTGAAGTCAGTGCTACTTGCTATACGGATGAGAGACTTGCACTGCGCGTCATAAAGAGCATCTCAAACAAACTACAGGCCTTCATTAACAGCTGCCTTCGCTCAATGCAACTCAAGATCAGATGGCCGGCCAGAAAAGATCAGCAACAGAGATCTCTGGCAATGAGCGAACTAACACAGCAGGAATCGATTGTGAAACAAGTAGGCAGGAAGGAATGGAGATGGATTGGCTGGCCATAATCTGAGAAAACAAGCCATCAAGTGACATCACTAGACAAGCTATCGCTCGAGTGGAACCCGAAAGGGAAGCGGTGAGTTTGTCGTCAGTGTGATGGTGGGGTGACTTGGAGGAGGTTATGTGAAGAGGAGATGAAAACGTGTGGGCAGACTTGGAGCCAGGTGAAGACTCTAGCAGAGAAGCGAACGCAATGGAGACGCACGGCTGAAGCCCTATGTTCCTCTAGGAATTAAAGGAAACAATAATAATAATAATGCAAGTTTGCAGTCTGGTCACCATGCTAGGTGACCATTACTGTGAATCTTAAACTGTTCAGTGATTACATCTCTGACTACAGCACTGAATAGCACCGGTTTCGAGTCCTAGAAAGGAAACTGAGTTCCTGGCTGACTGGTGAGTGCACAAAACCTAGAACCAACGCTTCCAACCAATTGCCTCCAACTATCTAATAACACACTTGGTTTGCTATTGATCTTCTTTTTTTCTTGTTATCTCTATTAGTTGTGTTTTTTTCTTACTTATTTTTTAAAATTATTATTTTCACAATAGATTGGAAGAAATTTGATGACTGGCAACCGTATGATATAGCCGACCTGTTGAAACAATTCTTTCGTGAACTACCTGAATGTCTATTTACAAGTAAACTGGCAACTGTACTTGTCAATGTCTACGTATGTAAGTTTTGTTCAATCATGCCCAAGTATTACGCCTGCTTCAAATTCACAGTTTTGCTAATTAATTTTCAATAATAATAATAGTAATAATAATAATCTACTTTATTCCAAAAACAGCACTACTTATAATACAGAATGGAATTCTCAGCATTTATCACAATATTGCATCTGATTTACTCAAAATATAAATAAAATTAAAAATTAAAACAAAATTAACCGGAGGAATTTATCCACATTTACGATTATATAGTAAATGTGGTGTCAAAAATATTCGAAGCACGAATTGAGATTATTAAATATTATTATAATAATAATAATAATAATAATAATAACAGTGAGTTTGTTTCACACGGTATTGTCGATTCAGTTTGGAAATTTTAGCATGTTATAGATTATTGAATCTAACGTTCTGTTGATATAGTATTGTGAAGGGAAACACAAAATTAACAGTTATAACACAGCTTAAAATTATGTCCACACTTATGAAAAAAATAAACAAAAACAAAAAATTGAGAGGATTATAAATATATGAAGTACAATAACAATAAAGTATGATGCTGTAAGGGTGGAGGAAATGGTTTATTTAGTGGTGCAAAGAAGGTTAGTTAGTTCATGTCTGACACTATTTTCATCACATAGAGTACGTGGCGCCAAATATGGTATACTGGAATTTTCATACTTAGACGTATGTGCATAAATTCTTCTGAAAAGACTTCTTGTTTTACCTGAAACTGCGGGTAGAGTGGGTGCTCAGTGTCTGACAAAATTCCTTTAGCGAATTTGTTGCATGACATCAAGTGCCTATCATCAGTGACAATATCAACGATTTGGCCCAATGGGATACCACTCGTCCTACTGACGGTCAGTCTTCAGAGTTCTACGAAGTATGACATAGTCTTTTTTAAGCAATCCAGGAAAGAATAAGGGTGAAAAGTAAAGAAGAATAGGTAAGATTCACGAGTCGAAAACTTGTCAAAGGAGGAGGGGTTGAGTTATGCCTGAGTGTCTTAAGTTCTCAATGTAAAAAGTCAGACGAAATATTCTTTTAGAAATCACTAAGATATGGGAGGACCAGGATAGGTCAGAAGAAAGAATTAATCCAAGATACTTAACTTCAGACTTGGTTTATATATCAGTATCATGAATTTTGCAAGGGTCATAGGAACCAACGGCTTCATTTAACTTTCGTTTACATCGGAAACTGAAATTGACAGTCTGACATTTGGAAGGATTTAGTTTAAGGCCGTTAGACGAAGACATTTACATAGTTCAATGGGGTGGGGGTGAATTTCTACAACATTTTTTTCCTGGTAACCGAAATTATTTAGTTCACCGCACAACAAATGAGATCTTTTTGATACCAAACTGGGTTTTTTGTATTCCTTTTCGCTCGCAGTGGAACATATGGCCCCTTCAAGCTAGAGGCTTGAAGTTTCTGTAGTAGTGGTGATTACTTTTACAGGATGGGGTCGCTAGCCAACGTCATGCCCAACCTTCCCTCCTTACCAGTCTTATAAAACTGGCTTAGTGAGGTAAAGGAGTGCCTCGTCGGCTGGGGATTGCACCCGGACCACCTGCGTGGTAGGCGAGCACCCTACCGCTGTGCCACCGACGCACTACCAAACTATAGCAATCAAGAAACCAAGCATATTTTAAGGGCGTTAGTGGTCCAGCGGTAGGATTCTCGCCAAACCGGAAGTAAGCTCGGTAAACAGGGGGAAATCGGGCGGGGGAGCCTAGCAACCTCAATCCGCAAAAATAAAAATAAAAAATCACCGCTATTGACTGTTACTGGCAGCCTGCTTAAATCACTAGGCTACCATCCATCAAAATGCTGCTTAAACTCTTCTGCCATTTTTACTGTTTCAATCGTGCAATTATATCAAACGACCAATACATTGACTCGTGCGCATATTTAATTAGTTTCCCAGTGTATGCTATGCAGTTTTCGAAAGAATTGAGGACAAAATGTACAGAATTGGTTTTCTCTTCATATGCAGCAGCAATTCAACAAAGGAAGTAATTCAAAGGCTAAGTTAAACTTTAAGCACCACTAACTACTGCCAATGGAGTGCAACCGCACCAATGACCTTGAAACGCTCACTGAGCAAGTTAATGAAACCTGGCAAATAATGTTGTCATCATCAATAAAATATGCTCATCGAAGTGTTATGATATTAAATGGGATATCTGGCAAGTTTCAGCTTAGGTTTGAGAAAGATTAAGTTACCTTTTAAGCCAAGGAGAAGTTAAGGTTAGGTTAACCTAACAAAGGCGGCAGTAGGTTTGATCAAGTTAGATTACAGTTAGTTTAGGGATATTTTCACGTTAGGGCTGGGTTCAGGAAAGATTCGGGTTATTGTTAGGGTTTGAAAGACCTAAATAATTACATGCATCCAATTTAGTTAAATTACTCTGTTGATATAAGAATAGTACTTGTGCACTGTGGCGGTAGAGTATAATTCCATTTTGGGTAAAATTTATTCCGATAAATTCTCACAGTGTTATACAGTAATATTTACTGATGACCACGTTTCGAAATATTACTGTATAACACTGTGAGACTTTCAAATGAACTGTCGTCAAGATTTGACAGAATAGTTCTAAAATATTTGGGCGCCAAGTGAGAAGTAGATATTTGTAAAAGAAGTTTGGACCAGATTGCCGAACGAAACGTTGGAATTACTCATTTCAATCTCGCTGAGATTTTACAAATATAATCTTTTACAAATGTTTGTGAGACTTTATCAAAATAAATTTTACCCATAATGGAATAATATTCTGTTGAGAGAGCTATTTTTATCGAATGTGAGAGAAAGGTATCCTCTGTAACACTTTTCTACACTTTTAAGCATTTTCTCCATAAATATATGTTTTCCATAACTAAAAATGCCTCCTTCACGTCATTAGTACCACGTGCGTTCGAGGTCATTCGCTGATTGGTAGTTGGTGGCATTGTCTGTCTGTCTATCTTTTTTCGAAATAGAACTTTGCATCGATGTGCAGCAGTTCAAGTCACCACACTCCCTCCATGTAGCACACATAGCAAGAGAAGAAAGTAGGAGAAATGCATATTAGCGACAGTAAACAGAGGTGTGAGACAAAGGAATAGTAATAACGAAGAACAATATAGTTTCATTGGATATTATAAGCCACAAGGAGTGGATGCATCTCACCCAGCCATTGAGAACAACGAATTTGAGCCAGCCACATCACCGATTGTCTCCAGCCATTGGTGTTTACCGTCCGGAGGACCCAAACCAGGAAGTCTACACCTTCCTACGTGACTGGCTGGCTGGCTTAAACTAACTGTTGTTTTGGTTTGACCACCACAAGCTAACTCTTTTCCAACCTGATCCTATGTCAGTCAGCTGACATCGCCTCTTGTGGGGGAAGGCGATGGCTAGGGATGCATGCGTAACACATGTCCTAACCATCTTAGTCGATGTAGCTTCACAGCTTCGTCGATCGATTTCCCCCCGTTCACCTAGCACTCGAAAGAAGTCTAACCTCAATATTGCTCGCCCTATTATACCAGCAGTTAACACAGGATGTAGATAGAACGCAGACACCTATGATCAAAAACAGCTAGTCTTTTCATGTCTGAAAGGTTGGTGGTGCTTAAAGTTTAACTTTGCCAATTCACATTATTGCTTGGCATGTGAATTCTGCATCATGAGGAAATATTCTGGAACTAGATACTCTAAAATTTTCTATAATGTGTTCACATATTGTCTGAAATAAAGTTTTACCATAATTATATATTACTGACTGACTGAAATAAGAGTAGTGTTGCCAGTTCGCCGAAGTAGCTAACCAGAAATCGAGCAGTTACAATTGATTCAAGTCTGTTAAAGGATTTCATCATGAACTGAAATCGGTTAGCGAACCACTGGAAAACCTGGGAGTACTAGACAACTGTTTCGTCCTAGTTTGGGACTCTTCACCATCACCCACCCAAGTATTGGTTTTCAGGATTTCATTATAAGCTAACATCGGTTAGAGAACCATTGGGAGATTGGGGAGTATGAACTCTGGTGATAGAGCTCTACTGAAGTGTCCCGAACTGGGACGACGGAAACAGCTGTCCAGTACTCCCAGGTTTTCCAGTGGTTCTCTAACCGACATCAGCTCATGATAAGATCCTGTAGTAAATCAGTTGAATCCCCACGAACCAACACTCTACTCAGGTCTGTGAGCTGAGTCTTCCAACCGGGTACATCGATGATGACCTCGTCCCCTAAACGAGTGAAACGGCCGTCTGATATTTAGATCCCCCCCATCCGGCTGGGTGGCTGGCTGACTAGCGAGCACTACTGATTGATGTGTGTGTGGTATATAACTACTTTTATCTCAATAAATCAGCAGTATATAGCCTTATGCAAAATTTTCCTATTTCAATTCATTGTAATTATGATAATTTTGAGTTTAAAATTTCATGTATGTAAGTGATTTCTGTTCACCATAGACGCCCATGAAACAAATGAATTGTGAATATAATAAAAGGAATCCTTTTTTACAATCTTGAAGCTGAATCGCAATTCTCAACCTTTGTCATATGAGAAAGAATTTGACTTCGTCATAATAATTTCATTCTAACGTCATATAATATAGTGAAGGCTTTTCAGGGATTTAATCGATTTCTGGTTAGATCACAAGTTGACTTCAGTCAGAAAGGAATTGAAAACCAGCACAGAGTAATGAACAGCTATTTCTCCCTAGTGCCGGACTCTTCAGCAATCCGCATCCACGACTCCACCAAGGATAGTTCGGTAACTGTAGCCAGTTCCATTGGAAAACCAGCTAGGAGTACTGGCACAACTGTTTCCGTCCTCCTAGTTTGGTACTCTTCAACACTGCGCACCTACCAGGGTTCGTTCTCCTAGATCTCCCAGTGGTTCCCTAACTGATATCAGCTTATGATGAAGTACTGTAACCAATCAAATCCCTGCAAAACAACACTTGAAGATTCTTCTGATGTTCACTAGTCATTGACTGGTTGACTGACTACAGAACTAAGCCGTCTGATGTTCTTGTGAAAAGTTTTTGATGTACATCCAATTGGATGGGAAGACAAATACTCGTAGATGACATTGGTTGACTGTGGCGCTACATATAACATCAATTAGCAGCAGACATCAGAGTTGACAAGCTTGCTACTGGATCCTGCACCAGTGACTGTGAACAGTCAACAGGCTCTCCTTGTAACCTGAAGATCCTGGAGTTTAATTAACTCAGGGTGGTGGTGGAGTGTTAGGTTCACACTGCTTGAAGAGTCCAAAACTAGGACGAAATAGTTATCATTAAAGCTTGAAATTCACTCCACATATACAATACAAACGGAAGATAATGTAACGTACTCCTCTTTTCTCCCCTCTTTTTCTAGGTGTTCCAAATTCAGTTCAAATTGATCTACTACGCTGGATATTAATTAGCCTACCGGATGAAAATCGTATTGTATTACAGAAGTTATTGTACCTTCTGAATCATTTATCACGTCATAGTGATGTGACTGAGGTTAGTGAAGAATAGTTAGTCATTGTTGATTATTGTCAATTTGTTTTCTTGATTTATTGTATATTTTGTGTGTGTATGTGTGTTGTCGTGTACTAGGGGGCATTCTGATTTCGAGATCTCTTTTACATACGCTTAATGTTATCATTTTTCGTGTATCAGACGCATTTTGACTGGAAATTTTTGATGGTTTATGTCCAATAAACCACGAATTCGAAGATTTACATGCGACAACCAAGAAGTTGGCAAGAGAGGTACCGAAGACCAGATTTTAGGTGGAAAATAGAGAAGGAAAACCCAGCGAAGATATCTAATTATCACCACCACTACCAACAACAACAAACACCAGTCGCCGCTAACTGCAGAAATCTAAGGGAGTAATACTCGGAATGCACAGATAAGGATGTCAAAGATAGCCAAGGTCAGATAGGAAAAGCGAGACAAGTATTTATTATAGGGAATAAAAAGACAGTTGCAGCGAAGAAAATTTCCTTTTCGACGAAGTCATCATCTAGGCTGTACATTCGTGTATTTATATCAAATGGATGGGAAAGTTCCAGAATAATTTCTGGTTAAGGGTCAAATTAATAAAAAATTACAATTAGGAATTAAAATGACAAAACAAACAGGGGGGATGGGTAAAACTCAAATAAAGTAGCATAATAACTAAGAAGATTGACATTGTGCAATCAGGGATTAAATATGTAGAAATAGTAAAATGACAAAATAAACAGGAAGAGTGGGTATGAAAATATGGTAGTGTAGACAGGGATTAAGAAAACTTAAAATAACATGAATAAACAGGAAGTGTAGATAAGAAAGGCGATGAGATTGTCATTACTAGAAAAATTTAACCTGTTTATGATGGCCGTGGCAGGGACAGGGGTTGGACGTAATTCTTTTGGATACAGAGCGTGGGTTTGAGCTTTTGGATAGCACCTCAGCTATGCCCAGATGTCTTGATTTGACTCCCTTTGATAGGTTTGATTTGAATTTTGTATATTACTTTGAAGGATTTTTCGAAAGGCGCTGAATGTCCTGAGTTGACCAGATGTTCTGTCACTGAACTGTATACTCGTTTTCGGTCTCCTTTTACTAGCCAGGCTGGGTAGTGTTCACGAGCGCGTTTTTCAAGCCGGCGCATGGTATGGCCGATGTATTCAGCTCCTCACGAGCAAGTAAACTGATATATGCACGTTGAGGTGGCCCAATGCGATAGTTTGTCTTTCGCGTTCTGGTTGAACAGTTTCTTACAGAAAAGCGTCGGTCGTAGGCTTGCGGCGAAGTATTTTTTCCTCAGCGATTTGGAGAGGCGTTTACGAAGGATTTCTGCTTCAATATCACCTTTGAATTCTAGATTAAGCAGAAGTACTTTCTTTGGAACGGATTGGACTAGTTCGGAAGTCTTCTTAGGTTTGATATTCTTGTCTATGAACCTGGGCGGGAAACCGTTTTCCATCAGGGTTTTTATTTATTACTCTAACGATCTACAGTACTCATCACAACAACCCTCGAACGACCCACTCGTCGCTTCCTCTCCCAATTTCGTTTGAGAAATTGCCTACATTGAGCGCGATGTCATTCGATGGCCTCCTCAACGTGTGCCCGATCAATCCGTCTTCATTTTCTCCTGCATATTTGTTGAGCAGTCAGCTCTCGCCTGTTGGTTTGTTCCCAGCCAGAGTTTCTTCTTGCCAATTCTTTCTGACCGGCCAGCTAGTTGGCCATTTGACCTTCAGTATGGAGCCAGCCTGTTGGAGATGTTTTTCTTAACGCGCAATGCAAGTTTGCTACCCATATAGAATAACTAACTGAGTGACTGACTGCCTTCACATTTATAGTGCACAAAATCCGAATCTTGTTCTTTATACTAGCTGGCTGAGTGAGCGAGGGAAGCAGATTTCCAAACTGGTTTCAGGATGATGAAGGCTTATCTTGACTTACCAGTGCTCACTGGCTGGTTAGCTGGCTGACTGGCTTCGACATCTTTATCCGTGCCGTCCAACTGCCTGTGGTTGAAACCGTGCTTCCTTGTCGGATAAGTGAAGGCAGGATGTGACCTCTGTCAAATCTCTCCCGTTGATGGTGATTGGTGCTAGTTGTTGCTGTCGGTGTTGGTTAATTGGTTGGTTATCTTCATCACCTCCGTCTCCACCTACTCTATGTTCACCTGGAGTCCTGTCTTCGCTGACAGTCTCTTCAGCCAGTTTGTTGGTTTTCGCCTGCAAGTCCTCGAGTTTGTGTGACATTAAACATAAATCATCCACATGCGAAATCCAGTTCTTCTACAGTCTTCTTATCGATCAGTTCAGCGTATTCCTGTTTTCTCACTCACTGTAAACACATAGTCTGACGCATACTCCAGTCCACCACAATTAAGAATATCATCGGTAATAATAGGCAGCGGCTCTGTCTTACTTCTATATTCACTTCAACACTTTTATGATGTCATTCAGTGGTTCTCTGTAATTCAGAGTCTTGGCTGTCATCTTACTAAAACTATTGCCAACAGGCTACTTTCATCAAGACATGCTGAACCTCAGAAAACTGGTCGGCTTGAAAGGATCAAACAACAAGAAATTCTAGTAACGAACCAGCTAAGGATCTATTACCCGATGAATGATCAGGAAGAAATGCAGATGGTTTGGATACTCACTGAGGAGGCTGTTGAGTGATATCACGTTCCAGACAGGCACTCGAATGGAGACGACAAGTTGAGCGGTGGTCTGAGGCTGACGTAGAAGATATCACGTGAGACAGAAATAAAAGCTTACAGTCACGGTTGTGGGGCCAGAGAAAAAATACCGTAGAGAGCAAGATGAAATGCAGATATGCTGATGAAGCCCTGTGTTCCCCTCACAACATAAGAAAATACTAATAGTCGAACAATTTATACATTACCTTCACTAGATTGGAGGTGTGATGCCTACGCACCTATTGGAAGAATCCAGTTTTGTTCATATTAAGGCCAACGAGCCTGATCCACTCTGATCGATCGCTCTAAGGTCATCCAGTCAGATAGTTGTTTGCTTGTATCAGTGTGCTTGAAATCCGCCAATCACATAATTTAAATAAATCTCTTATTCCCGACTGATGGCTGCTACATTAACGTGGTGGTCGGGCTTGCATATCGCAATGACCCACCAACAAGTTACACTGGCTGGAACTAATGTCCCTCCAGGTCCTGCCATGCCAGGAAGATTGTTAGGATAGTGATTATACTAGAAGCAGTTACCGACATAGTCTAAGATTTTCTTTTTTATACTATGCTGTGGGTCTGTGGGCAAACTAGTACTGTTGAGGAATAGTGATGTAACAGCCTCAGTAAGGTGTTTCCCTCAGATGACCAGTATGCCAGCCAACTATGCTGTCTCTACACTCTAGAGAGTGGGGGTTAGGAAAGGTCGACGCCGAAAATTGTACGTCCCGACTTACCCTGCGGTGTTCCGTCCGTAGCCGACGGTAAGTTACTAATACGGAACCAAACCAAAAAGCCAGCTCATACAGGCTATATTTGACCGGACTCAAGCAGTTGTTCCCTGGGTTCTGTGGTTCTGTGTTTCTGGTACGCTGAGGAAATATCAACTTCCACGGTGTGAGTAGTCGGGAAGTGTCAACCGCCCACACACTTCCAAAAGCACGCGAAGCCCTCCTGATCATCATCCTCCTTTATCCCTGTCACCTCCAAAATCTCTTATTAAAGATTTATCATGTTATTGATTTGTGCGTAGGTGGTTCAGTCAGTGGTTTCCAGCCAACTACACACTCGGTCCCGGTCTCGATTCCTGGTCAGCGTACTCTTAAACTACGCTTAGCTGGTAGTAAGCCTAAGAAAGGTTGGGTGTGAGGCGGCTAGCGACCCCACCCAGTAAAAACATACCACTTCGAAGTTAATTGGTGGATGGTGACTAGCAGTGGAATCCAGGACAACGCGGATTTCTTCCTGTTTTGGACTCTTCAATTAGCTTGATGTACCTGCATTCCCCAGTCAGTGAGTGGTGATGTTCGAACAAAGTGCCGAGCACTTCGGCCCAATCAATCGACCACTTCGCTTGAAACTTTAAAGCTCACCTCTTGAAATCAAATGTTCCACTAAGAACTCAAAGTAATGAAGAGAAAAAATAAAGTATTCGTGTTAAATTTGATCCTTTCCTTGTTTTCCCTTTTTTTCTCCTTTTTATTTTTAGATGAGTGCTAGTAATCTGGCAGTTTGTTTTGCTCCATCTCTTTATCGATTAATTAAACCGCCAACATTGTCTAATCAAGGCGTAAGTCTTAGTCCACGACGTTTAAGACGAACAACAAGTGGACCAGATCCAAAAGATTTAGCTGATCAACGAGCTGCTCAACTTAGTCTAAGTGCAATGATTAATTTAGCACCGAATTTATTTCAAGTGAGTACAATTCATTTGGTTATAAAATATTTCTTTTTTATGTTTAAGAGTTATTATTACTATTTTTTATTTTATTCCTCCACGTTCCTAATGGAACGTAGGACACCTTCAAGCTAGTGACTTGAAGTTTCTGTAGCAATGGTGATAATTTTTACGGGATCGGGTTGCTAGCCAGCCCCATGCTCAACCCTCCATCTTTACCAGTCTTATTGCTGGCTTAGCGAGGTAAAGGAGTACGTCGGTGGCCGGGGATCGAAACCCGGACCACATGAGGCGTGGTTGGAGAGCATTCTACTGCTGTGCCACTGACGCACAAAGCCAGGGAGTACTGGACAGCTGTTTCATCCTAGTTTTTAGGAATCATTGGCAGTACTCACCCACCACCAGGGTTCGAACCCAGTACCTTCCGAAGACAAGGCAAATTCGTATAGAATTCAGCCATTGTACCCCGTTTAAGAGTTAGTTTGTAGATAAATGAATCGTTTCAAATTTGACTGCTGGTTGGTTGCATGTTTGATTATCGGTTGAAATTAGGAGTTAGAGAACCATTGTTGGGAAACCAAGAGAGAGAGCACTGAAGCATCAGCTGTTTCAGACTCTTCATTAGTACCCACCCATCGTCGGCGTTCGAACCCATAACCTTCTGGTTGCAAGGTGAGCTCATGGAGTATTTATTCATCAGGACCTGATCCAATGGCTAGCGCATGAGTTCGCAATGTATACATAAGGCAACCGCCAGCCAGTGTGACTGGGTGAGTAACCGTTCTCTTACCCGACTTAGTGGTTCCCACTGGTCACGACTTCTCATTAGAACTGATGAGTATTAGGTTAATTTTAAGTGTCGATTTGCAGGATGTTCGGTTGGCCACAGGTGTTCTATCATTAGTAGACGTCAATAAGAGAGAGAGAGAGTGATTCATTGGAAATCCGGTAGAGAGTACTGAACAGCTGTTTCGTCCTAGATTGGAACTCTTCCACTTCGTTTTCGCAGTTCAGCTGATAACTAGACAGCTTATAGCTCTGACGAAACGTCTTATTATTATTGTCAAGACTTTAATGTTGTAAGACTGTCAAAGTATATCTGGCTGTTGCGCAACCGCCAGACATCTAACCGGTAATCTCCAGGTAACGAGGTAGAAATAAGTTGCTATTCAGCCAATGGGCTAAGAAAATTCAAAGTCCCAATACTTTTGACTTCTACCAACTCATGATAGTATACACAGACCTGTCTCTATCTAATACCCAGTTGGAGAGAATTTGTGCTTACACCCAACTTTAGGTGGATTGGCTCTATACTGGTTTTAATTTCTCATTAGGATTCTAAGTAATTACATCCTGTTGTAGTTAGTCACTAGTAGTGAGTAGCAGATTCACTCTCAAATGTTGAGTTGTAAAGATGTGATCGATTTTTAGGTGAAATGTCCCTACTGCTAAGCATTTTCAAACAGCTGTAACAGCTGTCTAGTACCCATTGCCAGTTTTCAATAGGTCTCTAAATGATGCTCTTAGTTCGGGATAAAATCTAACTTTGATATCAATCAAATTACTACAATTGAATACTTGTCACTGAAAAGTGAATACAGGAATAAGACAAGCTGACTGCCCACTTCTATCACCGATGATATTCTTAATTGTGGTGGACTGGATTATGCGTCAGACTATGTATTTCTTTACAGTGAGTGAGAAAAAAAAGAATACACTGCACTAACCGATAAGAAGACTGTAGAAGATCTGTATTTCGCATGTGGGGATGATTTATGTTTAATGTCACACAAACTCGAAGACTTTCAGGCGAAAACCAGTCAACTCTCTGAAGAAGTAGGCTGACAGCGAAGACAGGACTCCAGGTAAACATAGAGAAGGTGGAGACGGAGGTGAGGAAGATAACCAACCAACCAACAGCAATAGCTACAACAAACAGCACCAATCACCATCAATGGGAGAGATTTAATAGAGGTTACTTCCTCCACTTATCCAGCAAGGAAGCATGGTTTCAAGCATAGCCAACGGACGGCACGAATGAAGATGTCAAAGTCAGCCAGCTAGCCAGAATCAGAATGGCAAGATACGCCTTCGTTAACCTGAAACCAGTTTGGAAATCTTCTGCTTCACTGGATCACTCAGCCAGCCAGCATAAACAATAAGATTCGGATTTTGTGCAATTTGAATGTGAAGTCAGTCAGTCAGTCGGTTCTTCTATACGGGTCATAAATTTTTTACTGTGTATCACGAGAAGCATTTCCAACAATTTACTGCATGCTTTCATCAACAGTTGCCACTTTCACTAGCTGCCTCCATACTGAAGATCAGATGGCCGGCCTGAAAGAATTGTCAACAAGAAACTCTGGCTGGGAACAAACCAACAAGCATGAGCCTATTATTCAACAAATATGTAGGAGAAAATGGAGATGGATTGATCAAGCATACATTGAGGAGGCCGCCGAATGACATCGCACATAATGCATGCCATTTCTCGAGTGGAATCCCAATGGGAAGCATGCGACGAGTGGGTGGTCGGTCAGATGGAGACGGTCGTGTGGGAGGGAGGAGTTTACTGATTATGGGCAGTCGTCGACCCATCTGAAGAGGATAGCAGAAAATAGAACAAAATGGAGATGTGTTGTTGAAGCTATATGTTCCACTCGCAACCCAAAGGAATAGTAATAGTGTCTGAAAAGTTAAAGAATTTCAAGGTAGGTAGGTGGTATCATTTGCTTCAGTGGTTCAGGTGTAGAATGGCCAATAGCCAAGCTGCAAGTGGTCCATTTCTGATTACCGGCCACCGACACATTCCTAAACCTCTCTTATGTGATAGTAAGCCCGGTTAAGAAGGAAAGTTGGGCATGACGCTAGCAACCTCTTCCCCTAGAAGCAAACCATGCGGGACTAGAACTTCAAACCCCATGCCCCACCGGGAACACAAAGGAAGGGAAGAAGCAACCTGAAGACCAACTACTCTGTGATATACCTAACTAGAATTTAAGTTTGATATTATTGTTATTCCTTTGGAAGCTAAGTGGTACATAGAGCTTCGACAGCACATCTCCATTTTGTCCTGTTCTCTGCAGTTCTCTTTATCTGGCTCCAAGATTGCCCATATGCTTTCATCTCCTCCGTGTTACCCTCGAACTCATGTCTAACTCTCCGTTTCCCAATGCGGTTCCACTCGAGCGTTGTCCTGCATTGCACGCGATGTTACCCGATGGTCTCCTCAGCCTGTGTCCAATCTACCTCCATTTTATTCGGAATGTTTTTTTCAGTAATAGGTTCTTGATTGGTTTGTTCTCAAAGTTTCTTCTTGTTGATTCTTTCTTGCCTCCTAATCTGATCTTCAGTATGGAGCTAGTGAAGGCAGATGTTGGTAAAAGTTTGCAGTGGTCTGTTAGAAATGCTTTCCGTGACGTGGTCGCCAAGTTTCAGACTAATATAGAAGAACTGACTCAACACGTCTATTTAGAGTTCGAATCTTGTTCCCTATCCTGAGTGCATCAGATTTCCTCACCGATTTCAGAGTGATGAAGGTCTGCTTTGCCTTTTCCGATTCTCGTTCTGACATTTTCTTCCGTACTATCGCCTGTAATTGAAACGATATTATGTAGATTTAAAAAATGAAGTAACCTCCTTCAAATTTGAGGTTAATTGGTGGATAGTGACTAGCTGTGGAATGCAGGACAACGCGCACTTCGTCCTATATGGGATTCGTCAACTAGCTGGATGTACCTGCATTCCCCAGTTACTGACTGATGATGTTCCCACCGAGGCTCGAACCCAACGCCCATAGTTTCAAACGCCAAAGCGTTATCCACTAGACCACTCTGGCCACGAGAGCCACCTCTTTTGCAACGGGTCATATTAATTATCTAATTGAATTTTAGATTTTCCCGTCGATTGGTCGAACCGAAGTTCTCGGTTTCAGGTAGACATGTCCGCTTCTGGGCATGTAACTAGAGATTAATTGGTGGATGGTGACTAGCAGTGAAGTGCAAGATGCGCACTTTGTCCTATTTGGGACTCGTCATCGGGATGTGCCTTCAAATTTGATAGTGGTTGGTGCTTGTTGTTATTGTTATTGTTGTTTAGGTATCTTCAAAAACCTCACTCTTTTCTGTGTTCAGTTGGAGTCCTGTCTTCTCTACCCGCCTCTTCTGACAATTTGTTTGTTTTTTGTCCATTAATCTTCGAGTTTATGCGATATTAGACATATGTCATCCGCGTAGTCCAAATCTTCTAGAGTGTTCTTCTCGGTTCAACCTTTGCCTGTCTCCTTGTTGAATATTCCAATCGGCTACTTTGAGGAGTATCATCGTTGATTGTATGCAGTCTTCTCATACTCGTGTCTTCACTGATGAGTTTTGTGTCGTGAATCACTTTACATATGCCCTTGTCATATTGAATTGTTGAATGAAGGCTGATAAAGTGTTGGGGTACTTTATCATAGTAATGAAGTAGTTTCGAAATTACTTCGCTATCAACGTGGTCAAAGATCCCAGAGGTATTTAAGTACGGTGGAGACAGTTTACTGTCTGCATTAACTAAGGTACTAGGAGGCGTTTGGGAATCAAAGGAAGTTCCATCGGGTTAGTGTAAGTCATTGATTATCCCGATATACAAGAAGGGAGACAAGTCTTCCTGTGATAATCACAGGGGGATTAGCTTGACTAATATGGCGGTATCTAAAGTTCTAGGCTCAATAATAATGCGTAGACCAAAAGGTTCACGGCAGGAACAAACACGAGAGAACCAGGCAGGCTTTAGACCAGGAAGGGGGTGTATTGATCATATCTTCACCATTCGACAGATTTTAGAGCATAGGCATACTCACTACCGGCGTCCAACAATCGTTATATTTGTTGACCTAAAGGCGGCATTCGATCCCGTTGACCGAGAGGTACTATGGCAATGTTTGGCTGTGAATGGAATGCCGAGTAAATATATATTGCACTAATCAAGGCACTCTACTCGAACGCATACAGCGGGGTAAGAGCTTACAGCGAGTTGTCATCTGAAATGGTGAAAATTAGTGGTGTCAGTCAGGGATGCCCACTATCTCCATTTCTATTCAATTTCATCATAGACGTACTAATGGACATAACCCTGACTGACTTCAGCGACTCACCGATTGACGTGTTACTACCAGGGAATAATCTCGTTGACTTAGAATATGTAAACGATATAGACCTCCCTCCTAGGTGAGGACGAGGACATAATGCAGAGTCTTCTGAACACTTTGAGGAGCAGCAATCTGCGAATGTTTTGCATGCGATTCACTCCTGGTGACAAATGTAAGATGATGAGGCTACAGGACTGAACTACATTGATTCTTAGCTTACAGATATAGAGTGAAGTGGTTGGTGAAGCGTTTTGACCACTTCACTTGCTTGTGAGGTTGCATCAGCCATCGCTAGCAGGTTGGTCGCTGACGAAATCTCGGCACGGATACAGAAGGCTAGCTTCGCATATTCCAGTTTACGCCATCTCCGGCGTAGACGTAATGTGCGGCTGACTATCGACTAGAGGGCGTGTGTACTTCTCAGCAGTTCACTCCATACTCCTTCATGACTGTCAGTGAGACATGGTCATTGAAAGTGGAAGACATGGAAAGGCCGGCTAGCTGTCTTTGATTATAGGTGGCTGCGTTCTATCTCCCGTATTAAATGCTGGTATAATAGTGTAAGCAATATTGAGGTTAGACGTCGGTCGAGTGCTACGTAAGGAGGGGAAATCGATCGACTAGGCAGTGAAGTTACACCGATTGAGATGGTCAGGACACGTGTTACGCATGCATCCCTAGCCATCACCTTCCTTGACAACGGGCAATGTTAGCTGATATAGAGTCGGGTTGTAAAAGAGCCAGTGGTGGTCAAACGAAAACATGGATTCATCAGTCAATGAAATTCACGACAGTTAGTTTAAGCCACGTAGGAGGATTTAGAATCCCTGGTTGGGTTTCTTGGACCAGTAAAAACCAATGAAGGCAGAAGACAATTGGTGATATGGCTGGCTCAAAATCGTTCTCATTGATAGCTGGCACAGATGCATCCACTCCCTGTGACTTATAATATCCAACAAAACTATAATGTTCTTCGATATTACTATTTTTTTTGCCTAATATCTCTGTTTACTCTGCCTATTTTGCATTTCTTTTTACTTTCTTCTCTTGCTTTGTATGCTACTTGGAGGGAGTGTGGCGATTCGAAGTGCTGCACTTCGGTGCAAAGTTCTATGTTGAAACCAGTCAGTCACTCAGGTCAAAGTCATTTTGCATAGTCGATAATGTTTCTATTTTTGAAATTTTTATATGTATCTACATATTTGTTCTTTTTCTAAAACTTTTCATCCTAGATATCATGTTCTCTACTGAATCATTCAACTCTACTAACAAGTTTAACGCCTATACCACAAGATTTAGAAACAATTATAGCTAATGGTGATTGGCCACAATGGATACAAACATCATTGACTGATTTAATACGTGAATGTTCATCATCCAAGTCTAAAGGTTGGAATGTTATCAATCGTGAAGCTATGAAATGTTATGGTGTTGAGTAAGTGAATATATATATTTATATGTAATTATACATTATACTTATTTGTCTTAGCTAAAGACACTTTCTTTTAACAGGTGTTATCAATAGTTGCAATCAGTTAGAGAACCATTGGAAAGCAACACTAGGTAGGGAGTACTGGGCAGCTGTTTCGTCCCAGTTCGGGACTCTTCAGAACAGTGCGCATCCACCGGGATTTGGACTCAGGTCCTTCTGGTTAAAAGGCCAGTTCGTAGACCATTCAACTGTCAACCAATGCTATCATCGAGTAACTCAATTCATACCTGACATGGTGGACTCAGATGATCACGACTTCCCATTAGAAGTTTAGGCAACTTCCTGCATACATCCAGTGGCTAGTGAGCATCAGATTAATCTTCAAATATTAGTTTGTAAAGGGGTCTGATTGTTTACAGTTTCGATCCAGAGCCAACTTTTAATTTACTTGAGCGGTTGGTGACTAACAGTGGGATTCAGTTTATGCGCATTTCATCCTATTTGGAACTCGTTAACTGGAGTGAGTGAGCGAGTGATGACACCCCCTAGCAAAAGAACTGGCTGTCACCACTTGTAGATGTTCTTTTAGCGTTTCAAATGATGGGTGCTGCATTCAAATCTCATTGGGATTATTATTGACTCAGTGAATAGAATACATCCAGCACATCCACCAGATGACGAGTCTTTAGTGGGTCGAAACGCACACTAACTTGAATTGCACTGCCAGCTTCAACCAAAGAAGGTATCTTTGAATTCGTCGTGCTGAGAGTTGATATATCAGCAGAGACTGAGCATTTCACTCCAGTTTTCCTTGTGAACTGTTGTCGTCATGATGATGGACGTCATCGAATGAACCACCATGGAGCATTGGATGCTTATTTAATCTTAGTAAAAGAATACCCTTGATGTGGTTGTGTTCTCTGAGCTTGAAGTATGCGCTGAAGATGTCACCCAGTAGGGTGATGAAAGCTTCGCAAATTAACTATCCAGCTCAGAGAACACAACCACATCAAAATCATCCACCTGAGCTACAAATCTTCTCTATCATATCCAAAAGAATACCCTTTTTCACTGTATTCTTTCCAAGTGGGACATAAAGCTTCGAATTTCAAGTTTTGATGTTTCACTGGTGATAGTATTGTTGTCTCCACGAGGAGGAATTCCCCCCCCCTTTTCGGGATTTACCACTTGCCAGTAAACTGGGCAAATCTTTGGAGTTTATCGACCGGGGATCAAATCCGGACGGTTTGCGACATGAAACTTGTGAGTACTGGATAGCTATTTTGTCCCAGTTTGGGACTCTTTAGCGGCACTCATCCACGACCTCACCAGGGACCGAACCCAGGACTCTCACGTTACGAGACGACTTCGTTGATTATTTAAACTCTGTAACACAACTCATTCACCCTTATGTAACTTTCACTCTGTGAGTTCCAGTCATATAATAAATTATTCATTAGACCATTTGGTGGGTCATGAAAGCCACCTCTTTTGCAAGGAGTACCAGTTATTATAGAACGGAAGTGTTTGGCCGCTGTTCCTTACGCGTCGGCTCTTAGTACGGACTCTTCGGCAGTGTTTGAGAATTAGGTTGGGACGGTTTAGTGGATGGAGACTAGCAGTGGAATCCAGGATGTGCATTTCGTTCAATCGACGGTGAAGTTAAACTATATAGCGTCCCAAGGGATGCAAACGCTCCGATGACCTTGAACGCATGCTAGTTGTTGGCTAAGGATACCTATCTTTACTACAGAACAAATATGAACGCTTTTCATCAACTAAGGAGAAAATTTCACGCAGATCACGTTTTTAAGTACTGTTTGGATAATGTTTTAATAGCTCTCTAGGTTTAGGATTAGGTTTAGGATAATGGTTATAAGTTAGGGTTATCAACAAAGTTACGGTTAGTGTTAAGTTTAGGGTTAGGGTCAGGATCAAGGTTAGGGTTACAATTAGGGATAGATTTAGATGTGGTATTATTTATTCTAATTTGTTTTATCATCCACATTTTGCCAGTAAGTAGTCGTCGATTCTCTCACTGGAAACCATAGTAATTCAACCGACGGCTTTTGGGGCAGACTGCAAAACCGAATAAGAGCGATAAACGGGTCACACAAAACAAGTTCACCTTAAATCACCTCGGTGAATACATGTACAGAAAATGGTCTAACTCAGAAACTGATACTTTTCATTATCACTGTGACGTATTTTTAAGTCACGTCAGAGAAATATACCCTGTTTAATGTGTTTTCATGCCTTTTCTTGTAAATAAACATCATATTTTGTGCAAAAATCAATAATTTATATGATTGGTTGGCTTAAGGTCACTCGTGTGTTCTCATCCCTTTTGAACACTGTTGTTTAACTTTGCCCCCAATCGACCCGGGGAAAATGAAAATTGAATTCAAAACAGGGAAAACAATAGGAAGCTTTTTTTGTTCAGATGAAACATCCTGGTGTAGTCAACATGTGGGATTACGTAGGACTAGTTCTCCAACTTATATAGGAGTATTAGCCATCTGCACACTCTTATAAGAACTACAAAACCTCCGTAGAACAGCTTCTGTCTACTTTTTCTTTCTTCCCTCTTACTGCAGTACCTCCTGTTGCTTCCCCTGTTGCTATTGGTGCTCTTCAGATGGTTTTAACTTTCAGTGGTTTAGTGGTAGAATGGCTACTAATCACACAAAAGGCCTGGGTTCGACTCCCTGCCGACATACTCTCCTAAACCGAGCCTAGTTCAGTAGGCTTTAGTAGAACTAAAAAAGAAGGAAGGTTGAAGGACAGACAAGCAAGCAACCCCAGCTTGTGGAAGAGCAAATAACATCACTGCAACTGACACTTCAAAGCTTAGAGCTTCACAGCTTACATTCAACTCGGATGACAAAGAAAGAATGAAGAAATATGTAGTGGGATAACACTGGGAATTCTATGGATGGAAGTGGATGCCCGTCGAAGTCATTCGTTAAGGATAGCGCTATATAATGAGTTCACAAAGTTAAAATTCACGGGTCACTGAATATTGGTCTCGTGACCTGAAGACCCCGAGTCCGAAACCTGGTAGTAACTTCGTGGGTGTGAACTACTGAAGAACTGCAAACTGGGAGGGAATAGCTCTCCAGTACTTCTTGTTGGTTCTGAATGACTTCTCTAACTCCAAAGTTGGTTCGTTTCGAAAATCTAAGGATTAAAATTAATCCAAATTCCTACAAGCCCCATAATCGAATTCATTCCTAAGTAGGCAGAAATTATTAAGGATTTGTCTTTGTATCTGTTGAAGAAATTTCTTCAGAAGCTCAGAGAGATTCTACATTCTAAGAAAGAGTTATAAAAGATCAAAGAACATTGTTCTTACTTAATCAAAGATGGTTTATCAATCACTTTGGTAAAAATAGGATTGGTGAAATGTTTAAATGACAGAGCACAAAAACTAAGTAGTACTAAAGAAAATCTAAAACAGGAACTGATACACATAAAAGAAGCCTTAAAACTTAATAATTACCCGGATAAATTAGTCAGGAAATATGTAAGGAAATGTAAAAATAAAATAAATAATGATAGTAGCGATAGTAATAATAACAATAATAATGATACTAATAATAATATTAGTGATGACACCAACAATAAGGAATATAAATCATCAGTAGTAATTCCATACAAGGAAGGAACCTCGGAAGCCTTACGCAGAATTCTTAACAAGGCAGGAATGAAAATGGCATTTAAGCCAACCACAAACTCAATTAGAAACAAGCTTTGTCGTTTAAAGGATCAATCCTGTAGAGCCTTTAAAACAAAACAATTTGGTTTATCTAATACCCTGTTTGCAATGATTGTCAGGTCAAATACATAGGTCAAACTAGTAGAACAGGGGCAGTCAGACTAGCTGAACATAAAAACCTAGCAGCAAAATCTAGATTGGTTGACCCGAATAAGATAAGAAATCTAGAGAATAGTTCAGCTATAGCACTATATGCAGTTACACACAACCATACAATAGGATGGGATAAGATGACAGTTTTAAAATCTAATGTCACAGGGTATAGGGAGAGATTGATAACATAAAATTTTGTTTATCGAATCAACTGCAAACACGTGTAGTAGGAATGATTCAACACCTGTCCCCGATATCTGGAAATAGGAGAGAACAAAGAAAACTATAAAACTCAAGTTTCGAAGTCGTGTGATTATAATTGATATGATTATGAACCACAATAAATTTTGTTCGAAACGTCATCCAGTAAATAATACTGTTTCTTCATTGTGTGATACATCTAATAAACAAACTAATATGGAATTACTTACTACCCCAGTGCCCAAGTTTTACACATATATTAATATCACTTTGGTTCTAATTAATACTGTGAATGCTGTTACTTTATAGCACACTTACTTAAGAATAACTGGTATTTACCATCAAGGAGTACTGTGCAACTGTTTTCCACTATTTTGAGATTCTTCAGCACTGCGAACCCACGACTCCACCGCCAGAGACCGAACAGGAAAACTTCCGGTTAGGAGACCAAACTCGTTGATTATTCAGATGCATCTGTGGTTCGTTGGCAGATTGCTGACCAAGAACCACGCCTCACGTGGTCTAATGTTCTATTTCCCACTGATACACTCCTTGGCTTCACTTAGCCTATATCAAAACCTAGTAAAGGAGAAGGTTAGTCATAAGACTAGTGATCTTACTCCAGAAAGGAGAAACCACCACTACTCGAAACTTCAAATCTCAAACTTGAAGCCCTGTGCGTCGGTGGCACAGTGGTTAGAACTCTCACCGACCATGCACATGGTCTGAGGTTCGATCCCTTGCCGACGCACACCCGATATCAATGGTCGGCCTGCAAAATTTGGGCTACCGATATCCATGCTGAAAATTCCATACTTGTACCAAAAATACGGTGTGGAATCAAGCTGTAATCAAAAAATATATATATAAATATAAAATGAATGGCTAGGTGAAGTTTAGCAGTGCGTCGACTAGAAATTGAACTCAGACCACATTGAGCAACTCGTGGAGCATTCAATCATTGAATCACTGACTCACGCTCACACAGATATGATAGTTTAACTGAAATGTGCGGATTTCTGTGTGTTTTACAATTTTTTTTAGTTCTGGAGCTAATGAACTATTGGATGGTTTTGAAGTTCATTACAAAAAGATTCCGAATTCAAGTGAAACAAAAACTACACCGAACACCTTACGTTTATGGCGTTGTTCACTTCACATTCCGGAATCAAATCCACGTGTTATATTGAATCGATTCTGTGAAGACAGGTTAGTTTTTATTAAACAGGATTTATGATTTCCACTAGTTGTAATTACCTCACATGTTTTTAGAGAGAAATTGAGTACACAACTATCGTACAATTATCAAAATAGGATAACCTGTTCAGTAGAGATATTTATTATTATTTATTGTTATTATTGTTTCCTTTAATTCCTATAGGAACATAGGGCTTCAGCCGAACGTCTCCATTGCGTTTGCGGTTCTCTGCCAACGTTTTCACCTGGTTCCACATCTGCCCACATGCTCTCATCTCCTCTTCGCATCGCCTGCTCCTCCATGTCACCCTCGTAATGACGACCAACTAACTCGCCGCTTCCCGCTCGGGTTCCACTCGAGAGCCTGACGTGTGACGTCACTTGATTGTTTGTTTTCTCAGAGTATAGCCAGCCAATCCACCCCATTTCTTCCTGTATATTTATTGCACAATCGGTTCCTGCTGGGTTGGTTGGTTCGCTCCCAAAGATCCCTGTTGTTGATCTTTTCTGGCCGGCCATCTGATCTTGAGTAGTATTGAGCGAAGACAGCTGTTGATGAAGGTCTGTGGTTTGTTCGAAGTGCTTTTCAAGACGCGGGGCAGTACCAAGTCTCTGATCCATATAGAGTAGCACTGACTTCACATTGGAATTGAAAACCCGGATCTTATTTTCATGCTGAGTGGTGAGTGCTGTTGATCTCCACACAGACTTGAGTGTAACGAAAGCTTGTCATGCTTTCCCGATCCTCGCTTTTATGTCCTCCCGGTTCCGCCTGTATTTGAAACGATGCTTCCCAGGTCGGTAGTTAGGGAGGTAAAGGAGGTTGCTCCTTTCAGATTTCTCCCATTTATGCTGATTGTTGTCTGTTGTTGTTGTTGTTGCTACTGGCCAGGAATCTTCATCACCTACGTCTGTTTTCTCTATGTCCACCTGAAGTCCTATCTTCTCTGGATGCTTCTTCTGCCAACTTGTTGCTTTTCACTTGCATATCTTCCAGTTTGTGGGAAATCAGACATATATCATCATGGGCGAAATCTAGACCCTCCAAATTTTTTGTGTGAGTCCATTTTATGCCTGTCTCCTCGTTGCTCACTGTCTGTCCGTCACATTATCCAGTCTACCGCAATCAGGAAAATCATTGGAGATAGTAGGCAGCCAGCTTGTCTTACTCCCGTCTTCACTTCGAAGGATTCCGCAAGTTTCTTGTTGTGGATTACTTGACATGCAGCATTGTCGTACAACTGTTGGATGGTTGAGGTGTATAATTGTTGGCGGCACCCCTTTGTAGTAGCGAAGTAGTTGCGAAGTAAATATTTAAGAGTTAGTTATATGCATATTATTGTCATTATTCGCTTAGGTTTTGAGTAGAACATAGAGGGCATCAGAAGCATATCTCCATTTCATCCTGTCCTGTGTGTATTCCTCTTCAGCTGACTCCAAAACTATCTGCAAGCTTTCACTTCCTCTTCACACGATACCCCGCCCATGTCACCTTCGGACCACTGCCTGACTCGTAGTTTCCCATTCGGGTTCCACTCGAGAGTATGCTTGAATTGCGATGTCAGTCAACGATGTTCTCAGTATGCGTCCGATCCACCTCCATCTTCGTCGACATATTTGTTGGGCACCACTGTCACTAATAATAACTTTAATTCTGTGCATGTATTCTAATGACTTTCATTCTGATATAGAAACAATATTCATCTATGAATAGACATATAGATGAGATATCAAATCGTCTGCTGAAAGCGAAGGTGACATACTCCAATTCGGGCCACCTTAAGTGCTGTAGTGATGTTAGCCTGGCTATCAAAGGTGTTAAGTTTACAATAATTCGGTGCACTCAATTTTCTTCTCCGTCTGTGAAACATAACATCTTCCAGCTGAGTATCTGCGTCCGCTCGACCACCACTGCCTGCGTCGAATTGGTTCCATCCAACGGAATCTTCTTGTGAGTAATTTCGAGGTCCTGTAGAGTGTGTTTGGACACAATGACGATCACCACTCATTGAGTGTGTCATCATCTGGAAATATTGGCTTCACTGGCTTGGGTGTGTACTACAGATGTCATCCCAGAGACTTTCGTTCCCGTCTCTCTTCGCTAGCCCTGGTATTAGATGGTAAAAGTGAAGAGGTGGTAAGTCTATGACATGGAGCTGTGGGATGAATTGTAAGCTGATTCTCCTCTTCCATGTTGGTGATAACCTTCTTAACCAGCTCCATTCCTTGTTCAACATCATCCATATCACTTTCGGAAGCTCAAATCATCAAGTTTGTTATAATTACCGGATTAAATTGATTTTTTTTCCTTAAAATATCGATTTCGAATGATTGGAACCAAGTGACGATTGATAGTATTGTGTTTTGATTGGTTAGAGGATTTCATCATGAGCTAACATCAGTTAGAGAATCATTGGAAAACCAGCGCGGCTAGTACTGGAAAGCCAGTTGTTTCGTCCTGGTCTGGGACTCTTCATCGGTACTCACCAAAAGCCAGGGTTGGAACCCAGGTGAGATACCTCGTAGACCATTAAATCGCTGGGACCCCATACATTGGCCAGCAAGTCCATGAATTCTAACTTCTGCCAATTCACGTCATAGTGCGACCACTTCGCAATGTCTCCTTCGATGAGTAACTGTACACACTTCCGACCTCCTGTACCCTACTGGTCACGGCTTCCCACTAGAACCCCGGGTAACCACCTACCTACCTGAATATGGCCAGTCGCTAGTGAGCATCAGATCAACTTTCAGGTGTTGGTTTTCTATGGATTTTGTTTGATTGGTTGGAAGATTTCATCATGAGCTGAAGAATCCCAAACTAGGCTGACGAAACAGCTGTCCAGTACCCCCTGCAGGTTTTCCAATGGTTCTCTAACTGATGTCAGCTCATGATGAAATCCTGTAACCAACAAACCAATACGACGGTGGCACAGCGGTTAGGACTCTCGCCGACCATGCCCATGGTCTGCGGTTCGATCCCCCGCCGACGCACACCTGAAATCTATGGTCGGCCTGCTAAATTTGGGCTACTTTTATCACATGCTGAAATTTCATACTTGTACCAAAATACTGTGTGGAATCATGCTTTAATAATAATAATCATAGTAATATTAGTCCATTTTGCATTCTGACTGATAGACTGTAGATCTATTCTGCCGTTACACATAACACACACGCACACGCACATGCAAACGTGTTTGGTGAATTTTTCTATCAATTTTTAATAATGAGTAACCTACTTTTTACTTCTTGTATCATTATACTTTGAATTCTAGAACTTCATGGGATCCAGAAGTGGCAGAAATGAAAATTATTGATCAAATATCTGATTGTGTTGAATTGTGTGAATTACACATGGCGTATACATATCCCCAACCGAAGTGCGTACTTCATTTAATCCGTGGTCTTCAGTATACCCTTGACGATGGTTGCTGTGCTATGCTAAGCGAATCAATAACAAATACCAGTTTTCCAAATGTAAATACACCTTTTTGTGTACAGTCAACAACAGCGACAACAGCAACTGGAACTGGAACTACTGGGGTGAATCCAAGTGGAAATAGCATACTTGGTCACGTCTATGAAGATCATGTTTACATTCGTCCAAGTAATGATGGTCAAGGTTGTCGGGTGTATTTACTATCACGTATAGATTTAAAGTAGGTTCTTGCATTTCTATTGTTATTATTATTATTATTGTTCCCTTGGGTTCCTAGTGGAACATACGGCTTCAAATACACGTCTCCACTTGTTTCTGTCTTCTGCTGTACTTTTCACTTCCATCCATGTTAGTCCATACTGTTTCAACTCCTCCTCACACGATCTCCTCCATGTCACCCTTGCACTGACGTCCCACTACTCGCCGCTTCCCTTTCGGATTCCACTCGAGCACTGGCCTGGTGCGCGATGTCACCCGGCGGCCTCCTCAGCGAGTGTCCAGTCCATCTCCACTTTCTCCTGCATATTTGTTGAGCGATTGGTTCTTGTTTTGTTGGTTCCCATAGTTTCTTGTTTGTGATTCTTTCCGGCCATCTGATGTTTAGTATAGAACGAAGACAGTTGTTGATAAAGGTGTGCAACAGGCTGTTGGAAATATTCTTTGTGACACACTGGCCAAGTTTCTGATCCGTATAGAAGAACTGACTGACTTGACGTTTGTATTGAAAATCCAAATTTTGTTGTTGATGCTGAATGACGAAGATTTCCAGATTGGTTTCAGGTTGATGATGGTTTTATGAATTTGAGGTATGTTTATTTTCTTGATTTTTGCCAGACTTTTATAGATGATGCGGCAGACGGTGGTAAAGGATTGAAGATGGGATGAAATGAAGGTTTTGATATTGTGAAAGGGGGAGTGCCAAACTATCTAGTTGAGTGTGGTGATTTTCTCTAGGGATAGGATTGATCTTCCGAGGTAGGGTTGATAGCCCCATGCCCAACCTTCCTTCTTCTCCCCGACTTTGTCGGACTGATAGTTGCTGCTTTGACGTGGTAGTTGGGTTTATGTATCCCAGCTACACATGCTGGAACTAACTGTTCCCGTAGGTCCTAACATGCCAGAGAGATTGTTAGGATAGCGATTAGACTAAAAGCAGATTTTCTTTTTTGACACTATGCTGGGGGTCTGTAGGCGAAGTCGTACTGTTGGGGAATAGGAATGTAACAGCCTCAGTAAAGTGCTTCCCTCAGATGACCAGTATGCCAGCCAGTTATGCTATCTCTCCACTCTGAAAAGAGGGGGTTAGGAAAGGTCGACCCTAAAAATTGGACATCCCGACTTACCCTACGGTGTTCCGTCCATAGCCGGTGGTAAGTTACTAATGTCCTCAAGAATAGCTATCTCTACTTTTAACTCGCTCAAATATTTTTATTATCATTTTATGTTTACACCTGATTTATCCTGCGTGTGTTTTTCATACTTTGCTTTTTCCAGAGGCTATGGACCTGATTGGTATATAAATCAATGGGGTCATACATTATGTCGAAGATTAGTAAATCTAAAAAGATCCTTTCAAAAGTCCAAACCACTACCAGTTTTAGTTTATGAATTAGACGAATCCGTGAATCGACCTTCTCCGCCACCCTATGCCACTATTACGACTACCGCTACTACTACGACCATTGATGACAGCAGTCAAATTATCTCAACGACAGTAGAAACTTCATCATCTCCGACGTTGTCAGCAGTTACCAGTACAACAACAACAACAACAACAAAAACAGCAACAACGACTGTTGTGATTAACAGATTCTAAAAAAGAAAATATCATCTACGTGTATTGATTTTCTCATCAACGAAAAAAGACACAGCACGGCGGTCCAACTTTCTCCTTGTGTGTGTATATAATCATAATAATAGTAATACCTAAGTGTATTCTTCCACTCGAGTAATTTCTGTCCGCCCTTACTCCCTTACTGCTGCATCTCTCTGTATATGTGTGTCTTCATGGACATTGCCGCCGCTGCTACTGTCTATATGACGTATGAACCTTTCTAACATTTATTTCTCAAGAGTGTATACTTATATAAAGCTTACTGACAAATGATCATAACGTATTCACACACACAAAAACGGCGATGTATACACGTATGTCTTCCGACGACAACAACAGGAAACTACGAAGAAATTCTATTTTTTATATACATATGATAAGTTTTTTTGAAAAGTTGAAGATGTTAAATGGTGAGAGGGAGGGGAGAGTGAAGAGGGCGGAAAGTGGCGTCCATGTACTTAATTTATTTCATCAGATTTTTATTATAATTATTGTTACTACTGATATTACTATATTAGTAGTAATTGAGTAATGTTTAAAAAAATACAAAATAATAAGATTGACTCTTCATTATTATGCGATTACTACTCTTACTACTAGCTAATATTGTGTATGCTGAACTGTGTGTGTGTTTGTGAGTGCGTCAGTTTGTGTGTGTGTATGTACGGGCTGGAGGAGGGGGAGTGTTCTTGTGTAATATTTTTGTTATTCTTTCTCCAGCCTTTCTTTCGAAAAACCCTTTCTTTAACATTTGTTTGTTTATTGTGCCACAAAGACACCCATATTGATTAATTGAATGATTAATATTCATAGTATACAACTAATCTTTGTACATATGTATTCTATTCATTCTTTACCGCCCTCCGGCCACCCTAACCTATCCCACCGCATCATCTCATCACAGAGTTTCACATTTGAATTTAATTCGTTTAATGTTGGTCAGTTGGAAGCTTTATTATTATGATGATTATGATTGTTACTGTTACTGAGACAATTATGGAGTGGTTTAATGCCATGAAATACCCTGATGATTTGCAGTTGAATCAAAAATATTCAATTTAATAAGAGAAAGGAGGTTTTTTCTCCTCCCCTCCCCTCTTATCCGCCGTCCACTCGACTCCCACATACACACGCCGGCCAACGTTTCATTTGTGAATGCCAGAGATAAATCTTCTTCTGTTCCTCGTCTTTGTCCTCTTCGTCTTTCTTTTGTTTTCAACAGACGAACAATAGACGTCGGTGTGTGGAACTAATTACTCACATGTCTTTCCATTGTGTTTACTGACTGACTGCCCAACTGTTGGAATGGTTTTGAGCGGTTTTAACTCATGTTTAAGTTGATTTACTTTTATCTTCCTCTGTTTCTCGCCAAACTGGTTTTTCGTCTTGTTCCGTGTGTGTTTGTACACTGGCGCGTGTCTGAGAGTCCCTCCCTGTCTTCATCTGTTTATTGTTCTACTTTACACTACTGTCACACTACTAATATTACTCATGAGTAGAAATTCTCGATTTTACCGATTATTTTGTTTATAGAATAATAATTATGTTAATAATTATAATATTAATATTCATAACAATAATACTGATCCAATAGTGATAATAATAATAATATTACTAATAATATTAATAGTGAAAGAAATTCCCCGGAAGCGGAAATAAAACAAAACAAAAAAACTGGAATTTACTTGAAATATACTCATGTACAACTTGTTTATTATTATTGTTGTTGTCGTTGTTGAGTTCTTGTATGGGTGTGATGAAAGAAGTGGGTCAGTATTATTTACAGTTTAACCAAAGATTGATGTTAGTTAGAGAATCATAGAAAACTAACAGGGAGTAATTGACAATCAGCCGTTTTGTCCTAGGTGGAGACTCTTCAGAATAGGATGCACACACCAGGGTTCGAGTACAGAACCTACAGGTTATAAGGTGGGCTGGTACATCACATTCAGCTACTGGGATCAGATCTAGTATCCAGCCTACGAATTCCAACCTCTGTCAATTCGCGATACGTCAGTTCTTAAACTTTCTGTCTAATTGTTATGCAGTAGCACAATGCCTTACTGTCTATTCAATATCTTAACAGGAATTTATCTAATCAAATCTTCACATATCGATTGGAATCATACTGATCTATAGCGAGTGCAGGATTAGGTGGTAGGTGGGAAATGATCAACTGTCAGAGATTATATGTTTTTCTGATGTTGTGTCAACAAGCCCGAAACCTAAGTCTAGGGTACCGTGACGATTGAAACCAACTGTGTAACATTACTTTTCAGAGTGTACCACGATGATGAGTCAGTCACCTTAACTGAGAGAATTCAGTTAGCGCCAAGATTACTAAAGGCTACCGGAAAGATGACATTCGTTACTCTTCAAAGTGAATTTTGATAAATCACATAAGAAGGTGTAATTTATCTGAATGGTGTAATGAATTTGAACGACACATTTCCAAGAATACGATCACACACATCCTTATCACAGAAATAAAGTTTACCAAGGAAGGTTCACTATGATGGCGAATTGTTTTTGAACACATAAAGATGGTTTAAGCTTCCTAATTGTCAGCTAGGGCTTCCACAAACTTTAGAATACGCCCCAGACACATTTTAAAGATAGATTTAAAAGACGTATCCTGTCTGTATAATGTGTTTCGCAATAGAAGAGTTAAGTCGTCTGTTCTCACTATCAATGGGTTCTTGGGACTCAGTTTGCCTGCTAAACCATTTAGGGATATGTTATGAAGCCAGCCCTTACTTGCAAGGATCGATGAGTCCTTTCGACATGTGTGTGAGCACACATAAATTCAAATTGGTTGATATATGGGGATAAGACGTAATTTTTGTTTGTCCTTTGGTCTTCATATATACATCCTTCTTAAGCATCCTGCACACACATAGCAGCTTGGTAATTAGACAGAACACTGCGGTGAAAGACTTTAAATACAGCTAAAATCTAAATAATTGAGAATATGAAGCCTATATGTCCATTTATGCCCCCCAGAGCATTAGCGACTGGGAAGTTTAAACCACCTTTATATGTTCGAAAACAGGAGAAATTAAACTTCAACCCCAGTAGGTACTAACAGGGTATCATCTCCCTTAGAAGGTTGGTGTCAGTGGACGTGAACATTGAACGTTTGTTTATTGGAACTGGCAGCCATTGGTGGGCAACTCGAAGGCGCGAATGGTAGGATCGCGTGCAAGTTGGAAGACGGAAGAAATAACACGAATAAAAGTACTTTATAACTTCATTTGTACTAAACATTTGTTTGTAGACTTTGTAGTTGTCTTCGCTTTAATTGACAAACAATATAAAATCGTTCAAAGAATACTGGTGTTTTGGATTTAAAGTTTGGACTAGTACATAGTCTTTATCGGTTCAAAGCGTCTTCGTTACAATAGGAACTTAGGGCTAAGTTCCTTGACAGTTGGTGAGTTACCAGCAACCTTCGATCATAACAGGTGACTGTGAAACAGGTACTCATTTGATTTTGAGAATGGACGAAATGGAAAACTAGTATAATTGGGACTGTACAACGACTCATATGGGGTCAGTAGAGATCAACTGCAACCGATTCCCGAGGTTCTATAGCTACGCTGCAATGAGAAAAATAAAGACTGTTAGCACAAGCGAAAAGCAAAGCCTAAACCCAAAAAAGTATCAGCAGCGGAATAAATGCAAACTATATATTCATAAAAGAGAGACAGAAAGGTTAAATTAGCCTAGTTGACAAAGTTTTAAAACATTGGACACATTGCACTACAACGCGATTCATATAAATTACGTCTTCTTAGTGTTTTGTTGAAATTCATTAAAAGCACTAATTATTTTATAAGGATTATTTCAAGTCTGATCACGGAATGATGTAATTTAGAGAGAATCATTGGAAAACCAAGGAGTACTAGAGAACCGTTTCGTCCTATATTGGGACTCTTCATCGACGCACACCCATATTTTTAAGTATTCTATTTTATTGGATGACGATTCGCCACCGATACATACCCACCTTGTCGCTTTCCAGTCCGGTTCCATTCAAAGGCCTGTTTAGCGTGTGTGTGATGGATGTCGTTTGAATGTCCGCTCAATAAGTATGTCCAGTCTACTGCCATCTCCCTATCTCTCTCTCTCTCTGTCTGAATATTTCTACAATAAGTTCACTACTTCTAAGCTTCCAGAAGTTTTAATAGGTATCCCTATTTATCAATCCTGCCTTTTTCTTGTCTTCAGAGAGGCTAGTAACCTAGAAAACTAGGCGACTTGCTGGATGCATAAAATGTGGTCCTTTTGACTGTCAAGTTTCAAACGAAAAATGTAAAGCTGAAGTTAGATAGACAAAATTATATTACTTGAATAGTGTAACTTCCCATCCTCTAAGTTAATACAACTGAAGGTTATATAACAGTGAGGAAACTGACACACGTTGTTAATTAGATAAGAAGACCATAGAAGACCTAGATTTCGTGGATAATTTATGTCGAATGTCACACACACATATTCGGAGATGTGTAGGCGAGGATCAGTGAATTCACAAAAGGAGCAGTGAAGACACGACTTCAAATGAACATAGGAAAGACACAGGTGATGAAGATACCCGACAACTAACAACAGCAAGAAACAACGATAAATATCAATAGGGGGAGAGGAAATTAAAGGAAGGTTACCTCTTTCATCGATCTAGGCAGAGTCATTTCAACTACAGGCAGTCAACACTTCTTATGATGACGCCAAAGGCAGTCAGGATCCGAAATGCAAGACAGACATAATGATAGGATAAAGAACAAGTTTCGAATTTTTAACACTAAAGTCAAGTCAGTTAGTGCATCTACATGGTTCAAACACTTGGAGTGTCAGTGAAACCATTTCGAACATGCTTCACACTTTTATCAACAAATTACGTCGCTACCTCCGTACTGAAGATCAGATCAGATCAGCCAGTAAGGACTAATAACAAGGGAACATTTTTCAACGAAACGACAAAG